GTCCGGGGGCGCATGGAGCGGCTCAAGCAGATCTCTCGGGACCAGGAGGCCCGGTCCGAAAAAATCGCGGAGCTTCGCTCGTTCTGGGGTTTTAGGGATACGGTGGATGCCCTAAATACTGTGGATGGACGAAATCCCGCACCAACTAAGAGGCCCTTGAGGGATGATTCCCTGTAACTACCAACGAACAATGGTTTCCGGTTTCCCATGGTTTCCAAACTGGGATGAGCTTTCGGAGATGTTTGCAATTTTGTGGCTTTCTGGTATCAGTAGCGAGCGAAGTTTGAGCACTTGCTGATGCAGGCAGTCAAGTTTTTGTTGCTCTCTCCCTCTCTCTCTTTTTCTCTGCACGGGTTCTCCTGTCGGTCCTGCCGGTAGTTTTGACCATGCCTCAAACTGTAGAATCATTCCCGTGTTTGCTAGCCAGCTTACGTCCGTCCGTTGTGAAGGATTGGGGGGGGGGGGGCATGGCTCACAATCCAAGCTCACGAAGCTTGAAATGGGCATGAATGTGATTAGGGACCGTTTGGTGGAAATCATGTCCACAGGGATTCATCTCCACGACTCGTCAAGTTCCGACTCTTGGAGTTCATTGCCAAAGGGTTCCCCCGAAAAGACACCCATAATATAACAATTCATAGCCAGAACAAATATTACTCTCATACATTCAGATCGATGCCCCCAGCCTTGGAGGCAACCCAACGAGAGCACTTGCTGGCGAGCTACGAAGACGCAGCCCGCTGCAATTTGGCGGGCGGGCGTTTTGGTGTCGGATTGCCATGGACAATAAGATTGGCTGACCCAAACGGGTTCTTCAAAACAAAGTGGGTTGCTTCTGCAAGCTACACATGAGCCACAAGAAAAAATAACGGAAATTGGAGAGTAAGGGACCATCCCAGCCATAAATAGCTGCGGATATCCGCCTTTTCAATTCCTTACATGGTTCTGGGTAGCCAATTTTTGCACCAGGCTTGATTATGACTCACATGATGATCCTTTGGCCGGGATCCCAATGAAGAACCTGTTCAAGGGGCCCGAGCAGGCTTAAGCCACAGACCCGAAATGGACCGGACAGACCACTTTCACACTCACCAGAAAAGGGAAGACCCCAAAAAAGGGGCGAGCCACCCAAATGAACGGAGGATGTCCGGTCAAAATGTGGGGCCAGTGGGAACTTTGGACAAGGGCTTGGCCGAAGAAAGGAGCCCAAGGCCGAAGTCGGGTTTGTTTCAGAATTGAGTCCAAGTTTTTGGGACCTAAGGGGACACCCACGTTGAAATTCATCCGCTAGGAATTTCGCGTCTTGGCAGCCATTCAATGTTGGGTAATGTATGAACTCACTTGGAGGAGAGCTTGTCACTTTGTTGGTCAAAGTATTCAAGAAAAATGTCTTAAGGATCTCGTGCTGGCCCGCTGCTCCATGTCACCCGATTCATTGCAAGCACTTGGACACCAACCATGCGTGTGTATGTGTGTGTGTGTGTGTGTGTGTGTGTGTGTGTGTGTGTGTGTGTGTGTGTGTGTGTGTGTGTGTGTGTGTGTGTGTGTGTGTGTGTGTGTTTTTGACGCTACTGTTACGGATGGTTTAAAAGGAGATCCAAAAGGCACACCAAAACAATTTGTGGGTCCCCTCAGAAAGGACCGATTTTTTAAGGTCCCCTATTTTGACACACATACCGCCCTGTGAGAGCCCTCATGCTTGATCCTCTGCGAATTTTTATTCGGGGTTACCCGAGTTTGCCCACGGCTGATCTTTGGGTCGACGGATGTGGGATCGTTGCGGGGAATGGTTTACTTGATCCACACATACCGCAAGGAACTACTTCTCACTTACCTCAAGGATCGACATTTTGCTTTCGGAGCGTTGTGTCGCAGTTTTCCGGACCACTTCCCCGCACCTATCCTGCTCGGGGCTTTGGATGCTGAGGCGCGGCAAAGCGTCCAGGAGCGCATGCACACCTTGATGGCGGGGCGCTCGGAGGTGGAGGTACATGGCTCGGCAAAAGGTGTACTAGGTCCCCCAGCTAGGTGCGCTTTTGCCGATTCTTTTTTCGGGGAGGGTTCAACCCTACTAAAATAGACTGCAAAAAAAGGGTACCCTTATTCTAACCTCTCTACTGGAGGTCCTAGCGTATGTGTCAAAGGAGGGGCTTTGCAGCTGGCAGTGTTTCTTTTGATTCCTCTTGAGTCCAACCCGACATAGGGTACCCGAAACAACATAATTATATACCCATGTGTGTGTGTGTCTTAAAAGTACAGTGGATGGGCAGAATCCACCACGCGCCAGATGAGATGGATGAAAAGGCGTAGTATTTACCGGGCTTCGTATTCCGCGCTGTTTTTTCTGTCTTTTTCCATACAAAAAGTAATTGTATTAAAGAAGGCAAACACATTCCTAAACCACATTTGTAGAGCATTCTCAGTCGTCGAGCTGACAAAGTAATGCTACGCATCCCAACTGTTGCACTGTAAGATGCGGAACCCGAGAAATTGGTGGTTTCCCTTCGGCATTGAGCCTAGAAATCGTTGCCGTGAATTCTAGTCTATGGCTTAGAAACAAGTTTCCGCACAGCAATGTATGGAACTTGAACACTGTTTAGGTACTTCAAACTAACCAGACACCTCCACCGTCCAGGTCCCTTTGTGCTTCCCCCTGCTTTTCATCCGTTTTTTGTCTGCCACACAGCGTCCTTGAAGCTGTTGGTTCTCTACTATCTACTGCCCTTTTTTTTTTGGCTGGCGTGTTCTTGCTTGCTCCCTTGCTTGGATTTGCTTTTTCTGTTCCAGCTCGTGCTTGGAGTCTCCAGACCAGGCGACCAGTAGCTGCCGAAAAGTGCACGATCGCACCAATGTGTGGGGCGCGTATTTTGACAATAGATGGCCCATGATGGCCCTGCTTTCAGTTAGGGCTTAACCATCTAATTTTCCAAAAGGACGCCTATGTGTACATATCATTGCCCGACTTTGGAATGTGTTCTTGATGTCCCCTTTTAACTTTCAACCACCAAGCAAAAAAACACATGTAGCACAGACAGGGTCCCCTGCTTCCATCAGCTATGAGGCACAGCTGCAAGCAGAGATGGTGCGAACCACCGCTGGGGTCTCGGCAGGTTTCGTGCACCAGGATGTCGCTAGCTGCCGCAAAAATCGGGGACTCGGCATTTTGGTGTCCTCTTGCTTGGTCCCTCTCAACCCCCATCCCAAAATCAGATTCTCCTCTTTTTACAGATACTTGAGGGAACCCTTCTTTTAGGTTGGTTTAGAGTGGAACCAAACGGAAAGCCACCATTCTGGGGGTCCCATATTCTGACACATGAAAGGCAACCAACATGTCATGTTGAATCACCCAACGTTGGATGCGGGTGTCTTATATCGAGCTGGTCAAAGGGGAATCACCTATTTGGGGGGTGCCCTCATTCCCAAATTTAGAGACAACATCAATTTGGCCAAGTGTCGTCTTGGAAGACTAGATCGAAAACGGGAACCAGACCCTGGACAAATCAACCTACCTGCTAGTGGATGGCTGCTAGTGGATCTCTTGGTTCAACTTAAACGCTTTGCCCTCAAACATTTCGCAAGAACTAGCGAACGCTTTGACGCTCGCCTTGTCCTTTAGTGACGACTCTAGTGGTCTGGGTGGAGACTGCTCAAACCAACCTGAAGGCGTTTCGAAAGTTAAGTGCTCTCGTGACCACGCGTCACGCTCGAGATGTGTCTTCTTGACTGTTCCGCATTTGTTTCCTCAATCCAGGCTCAGGCTGTCTTGGTTTTTGAACATTCACTGGCAACACAATGGACAGCATACCAACCAGCAACCAGCTTCAGCAGTCCATCACCCAGTCAAGAGAAGATCGGTTGCACATTTGTGGTTTCCATTTAATTCCATTTGACCCACTAAAACGTAAGACCTGTTTGCACGGGATCTGAGGACAGCCCAGATCAGAGCTCGTTTTTGTTATTAAACTACAACGTGCTCACAATCACAGAAAAGAAGCAACATAACTCCATGAAGGTTTGGGTTCCCTTTCTGACGGTCATGCTGCTTACCGACCTGTTGGAATCGCGGTCTGAGCCCATCTCCAAAGGAGGGGCAAATCCATGGCCTCGGCGTCTCATGAGATGTTTTCCGCGCCCGGGCTTCTCCAGGGCACAAAAAACGGGGTTGGCATGAAACAAACTTGGCTGAAACCAAGGCACCAGGTTCAGGATCAGCTCCAAACATGGGCTCAACTCCTTGAAGGTCTTGGGGGAAACGACCCGGTTTTCCTCCCCCCCCCCCCCCGCCAAAAAAACAAACAGTTCGGCCCCCCTGAAAAAAAAGAGTTCAGCTCCCTGAAGCCCTGAAAACTCCTTCCCCCAAAAACGGAAGAGGGGCTCCAAATCGAGGCTCCAGTGGCTTGGAACCTGAGGCGCCTCGCACGCCGAAGGCCCCCACCGCCTGGGCCTGGGAGGAACCCACGAAGGCCGGAGGTCGGGGTCGGCGATAGCTCGATGCGGACGGATAGATACGGACACCCCCAAAATGGAACGCAACGCCTTGGATCGTCCGGTTGGTTTCTCTGGAAAAAACAATGACAATTTTGTAATTTTGCCAGGAACTCCTGTTTCATTTAACAGCTTGTTGTTGTTTTTTTTGTCCTTGTGGGTTTTCTTTTGGCTTCCCAAAATTGGAACCGACTCCAGGAAAAGCACAGGCCTTTGGTGGGATTGGGTCCTGAGAAGGATTCCGGGACACCAGCTGGGCTTAAGTTGTGGGTGGGTGGCGCGTGGGGGCATGCTGTGGTTGATACATTCTTTCGAGTTTAGTCTTTCTTTAGATGAATTCCGATTTGAGAGCAATCATTTTTCTTTTCATGTGAGAGGACACCAACATGTTTTTAGCTAAAGAGGAAACCAGCATGCGTCAATGCGTGTCAAGAAAAACGTTCGCGTTGATTCCAAATTGAGCTTGCCCTTGCTGATCCATTTCCAAATTGAGCTTGCCCTTGCTGATCCATTTGGAGAGGATCCATGGAGCACCCATCCAACATGTCGTTCTTTGTGGGGCCAGATGTGGCTGTGTAAAGTGTTCGTTCAAGTACAGAGGAACTTCCAAGTGGAAAATTAAAAAAGTTTCTTGCCGCACTGAAACAGACCAGAGGCAGCTATGCACCCAGCAACCGCTCCGAAATCGGGCAACCCGTCGTACCAATTCACAGGCGATGGTGACAGAATCCAAGATGTTCCATCTATGCAACTGTCTTTTACCTACTACGGCAGTGTGTCCTGCCATAGCACCCGCAATACGTCCTACTGGGTTTTTCTTGCTTTTTGGCCATGAGCTCTCGCAAGTCGACCAGGACAATCTGTCAGGAAGCGGCAAAGAAAACAGGCAAACCGCAGATTGTTTCATAGGTCGGTGTCATCGCGAAGCAGCTTGGTTGAAAATATCAAGACGGCACGTTCCGTATTGGTTACCTACCACAGGGATACCTGGATGCACTGAGAAAGCCATGGAAAAAACACAATCTTGGGGTCTTCCTATTGTGACACATACCCAGCGTCCTCGTCAGGCCCCTTCCGCAGAAGAGAAGCTCAGGGGAGAGCTGACATGGGTGAAGTCTGAGGCTGGATTCCCGTTTTGTTCGCTCAGACATGTCATGATTTGTTGTGGTTACATAGGGGACGAGCTGAGAAAAGTCTCACACAATCGGGGGACGAGCTCCAACTTTCCCATATTTGTCCTTGTCGTTCGGTGGAAACAGTCAACTTTGGCATGTCCCTGTCGGGAAACAGTCAATTTTGGCCATGGCTCTATGCAAAATCGGGGTCTGCGAGTGGGTTGTTGCGCAGACGGGGCAAAAAGACAGAGTGTCAAGAGTCTCATGTTGAATTCCCCGCCGGCAATGAATGAAATAAGGGGGTGTGGCTTCAAAGGGACCCCCAGATTTCCCTTGGACGTCTCGCGGTTTGAGATGGGATACGCCATGAAATGCATATACCATACCCATAGGATGGGCCACGAGGATGGGATGTCTAGCGCCAATCGACCGTTTGGTTGCCACAGTCGTGTTTGGTGGATCGAAGGTTGGGTGGGTCGGGTAACCCCTAATCGGTGGCTCACCACCCGCTCCAAACCACCAGCACAAACCATCAAACTTGGGGGAAGCTGAGCGCTGTATCCTTTTTCCAACACGCGTGGAAGTGGACGGGAGGCCTTTTCAGGAGGATCCTAGGTTGCATATTTAGACAACACTTCGACAATTTTCCCGTTCACGCGGCCCCCCAATTGTCAGCTCCTCTAGTCGTTCATGAAAAGCTGCTTTGGAACATTATTTATTTTCCCTGCTGGTCTTAAAGGGCGTCTATGACTACTGGAACCAAGTCTCTTTTTTTCAGGGACTTCAAGCAAATGGAGGTAATTGTTGCAAAGATGTCAGAAGCTTCCTTCACTACAGGCTCACTGCCATCAACTCGGGCTGCGAGCTGTTAAGCCGAGCGATCACAGGGCCGGTCGCAGGGCCGCATGTCTCGGTCAATCCACGGGGCAGAAACCAGCGATGTCGAGCTGCAAGGTGAATTACCATGTCATACACGTCCCTGCACGCACAAGATTTCAGTATTCTTTTGGGGGGGGGGCAGAGGCGTCTGTATTGTTCGAGTCGTGGGCTCCATTTGGGAGAGATGGTGGTTCTTCAGAAACCCTGTGACTGGGGCTGTCTCCTGTTCATCCGATGAACTGCTTTCCTTGAGGGACCTTGAGTCGGTTCCAGGTGCGATAAGCCTGTTGTGAAGTTCCGCATGCTCTGTATGCGTTCGGCAGCATGGGAGTTTCACCAATGCACCTTCCTGATAGGTATACCTTTTGTATGTATGCAGCGGCTGCACGTTTGTTTCAATGCTCAACAGACTTCGAGCTGTTTTCTGGTTGCACTTGTCGTGTTTGCTCGCTTGCTTTGTTTGCTTATGCTTGCTTACTCGCTCGCTTGTTTGTGTGTGTCTCTCCTGTCCTGTCGTTGTCCTGTCCTGTCCTGTTTTGTCCTGTCCTGTCTTGTCTTGTCTTGTCTGTCTTGTGTTTTGTTGCTTGGTTTGCTGCAGCCTGCTTTTATTTTCTCGCCTTGCTCAAAAAAAGTTGCCTCGCCTCTCTCTGCTCCGCTCCGCTGGCTCGGTCGCTGAGATGGCGGAGCTGCGGGCCAACTTCAAGTCGGAGCTCCAGGAGCTCAAGGCGCTCAAGGAGCGCGACAAGGCACCGGCGGGCGCGCGCGCGGAAGCCGCAAGCGCGCGCCTTTCTCGAAGGGAAGGGGGGGGGTTCTCAGAGGTGAATAAAACAAACCTGGGGGTGGAAAGGAGGGTCCAAGCAAAAGGGACACAGAGTTTTTGGCAATGGGGTCATACGGTTGTTTTTGTTTTTTGAATGGGCCGGAGTTGGAGTAGAATGAGGTTGTGGGGGGCGGTAGTATCAAACCAAATGGAGGCATCAGGGGAGAATCACTACGGGCGGAGTGGGGAAGACGCCGCTGGGGGATGATGTCCAAAAGACTTCATGTCCAATGAATTCAATTGCATCGGTGCGTCCGAATGTTTATGATGTCCACCAAAAGGGTCTCTGCTTTTCGCATAATGATATATTTCAGCAACAGAAAGAAACTCGGCTCGCCTTTTTGAGGAAGTGATGTAAGACCTTGCTGTTCTACAAATTCACATGAAACCCAAGAAAGGAGTCCCCCAAAAAAAGATTCCTTGGAAAAGGGGTTGCTTTTCAGGTTCCATGTCAACCTGCAATAAGGTAAGAGCCCTTCAAGCGAAACTTGTGTGGACTCTAATGTGTCGTGTGACCAACTTGATCCAAGCATGGGACGAAGGTAGCAGACCACAAATCAAACCAATTGAAGAGGTCCGTCATTTTTTGCTTTTCTGGGGATGGCAGCCCATTCCAAACCTGCGGTTGCGGTTGCCCCTAGTCAGTCACGGGATCCAGATCTGAAACGACCTTGAAAAGGGTACCCTCAAAAAAGCCCACAACCATTTGGGTATCCGTGTCAGAGGGGGGGGTGAACAGACATGGCCCTGCAGTTCGGTTTTGGGTATGGTTGATTCCGCACAAGTATGAGGACTCCCCTGAACTATCCCCAAATCTTTCACATTTTTCCTTCAACCCCACAAATTGTGCGAACCTCAAAATCCCCAAAAGCAACAAATTCCTCAGCTCAAGGTGTGCTGGGGAGCTCTCTTTCTTGGGTGTTCAACCAAGGTCAGGTAAGTAGGTTGCCATTGTAAGGGGCGACCCCAGCTACACCAGGTACGACCATAACCTATTTGCCTGACCTTGGTTAAACATAAGCCTCACTTGTCCCTTTAGCGAATCGACCTGTTGAGCTTTTGGTTTCCCAGTTACCCTCCCACCAATGAACATGGAACCTGACGTTCGGGGATCTGTTTAAAAGGATAACGGTCCAAACCAGGAATCCCTGAACGTCAGGTTCCGGCTGTTCTTTGGTGGGAGGGTGCCTACCATGGTGCAGTAGCCATCCCCTGAGAATCTTTTCTTCTTGGGTGTTCAACCAACATCAGGCAAGTAGGTTGCCATGGTAAGGGGCGAGCCCAGTCAGCATACACCAGTTGTGGTGAAGTGGCTAGGGGACCGCAGATTTTAGTCCTTGGCTCCCCATTTACCAGGATTCCATTTTGGGTACCCATTTTTGATCCACAGCCAAGTAACCATCCCCTGACGTTCGAGGGGTCCTTTGATGCCAGGCTTTGTCGGAGGCCTCCTTGCTTGCCACCTCCTGGAACCTGCGCAGCGCCACGCTGATGGCGGGGAGCCTTGATCTCTCGCTTCGGACGGGGTGGGGCCTATATTGGTTTGTCTTGCTTTTTGGATGCCCTTATTTAGGGTTGGCTTAAATGGACATCATTTAGGAACAACACTCATGGGCCACATGGGGGTGCCATATAGGCGGGGCGTGCATGGCCGATCGTTTGAACTTGGGGGTCCACAGCCACACCCACCCACACTTGAGTTGCTCCATTTGGCATAAACTCACGGACTTGAGTTCCTGGACTTGGCGCGTTTGGGGAAGAACATTTTGGTGCAAACACACAGCTTGCAACATGTTTTTTGTCAGTCCACTCGATCGGAAGTGAGTAAATTAGTGAGCTAGTTTTAGGTGGTTGAAGAAAATGTTCATTTGGGCGTGTCGTTTTGAGGGACACGCACAATGGTGCTGAACGTCGCTACAATCGCCCACAACGGCGCAGCAGGCAGCCCTTAGGCTGCGGGAAGGAGGGGTGGTCGGATTATGTTCAGTGTTCTTCCCTCGCTGAAAGCTGTGGGGTCCACAAAGTAGACTTTCCGGAGGGGTCCTTAGCTGCAAGGTCGCGACTGGTTGCTCTTGGTGGTGTTGTCAGGTAAAGGGGAGTCCCACATTTCCACAACCAAACTCCAAGTCTACCACTCCGGTTCATGTGAGCGTCTGTGTTGGGTATTTGGGCCTTGAACCCCCCAAAACGGAAATTGCTGCAAACACCCAAAAGACTAGCTCACTAATTTGCTCACTTCCGATTGAGTCGACTAACAAAAAAGATGTTGCAAACTGACAAAAGGGGCAGTACCAAAACGCTTGACTGCTATTGGGTTGGATCTTTACACTACTATGTTTTGGGGAAATCAAGATGGTCTCCACCAAACCCGCACAAAGTGGTTTTTTTGAATGGGGGGTCAGCAGCAAGCCCAGAACGGGAATTCCTCCACACAGGCGGGCGGTTTCCGGGTTCCATGTCTCGGCCCCGCGCAGGCGGCACGCGAGGAGGATGCGCGAGAGTCGCAGGCCTTTCGGGGGATGCATCCGCAAGCCGCAAGCAGTGTGCGGTTGGGTGCCCTGTTGATGGCTTGGTTTGGTTATTTCCATTTGCTTAAGAAATTTGTTGAGTTGTCCCTTTTTGGTGTTTTCAAGGGAATCTATCACTACAGGACTTACAGGACATATTTGCTCGTTCTTTCCAGTGGGCTTAAGCAAATGGAAGGTTAGACACAGATGTCACTGGTTTGGATTGTGTTTTGTTTTCTCCATGCACCAGGGTCATTCTTTGTTGGTCCAAAAGGTCAGCTATGTTTGCGCTTCTAGTTTTATGTAGGTGTTTTTTTTCCCTTTGCACATAGTGCAGTTGACTCTCCTCCAAAAACATTCACGGCTTTGAGAGAGGCCCATATTTCAGGTAACCTCTAATTGGTGGTTTTCATTGTTGCTTTGGGGGTTTGAACTTGCGGTTTTTGTCTTAACCACCAAACCACCAATCCAAACCACCAATTAGGCAGACCCACCCAATAGAAAGAAGGGCGGGGGGGTTATTCATTCGGGGGCTGGGGATTGTAGTTGGAATGGTTCGATTGGGGAAGCTGAGTTTTTGTTGCTTGCGCGGTTGCAAGCGCGACAGCACCCGCTGGCGTGCTGACTTGGGACTGGCAAGTCATGCCGTCAGGAGCGAGAAGCCATTCCAGGTTCCTTAAGGGTCCAAGTGGGTGTGTCGTTTTTTAGGGGTCCCCCAAAATCATGTATATGTCTCAGGTGTTTTGTCTCAAAAACCACCAAGGGGTCCCAAAGAAAGACAAACCCAAGTATCTCGGGGTCAGAATGGGTCGGACTCAAGCGGATTTTGTGCCCCATCACCCCCCACCCCCCGCAAGGTGAGGCATCTTCTCCCAACATGTGATACAAATCAACCAGGGGGTCTACCCATCAACTGGGATCCTAGTACCCCCCAAAAGAGTCTCCAGAACCTTTCCAAGTTCTTCATCCCATCTCAAACTCACTGGTGGTAAGGACCTGGAATCAAACGGTGCGTGCCGCTTTTGGGGACCCTCAAAACGGACCACGCGATGGTGCCCGGTACCTGCCGTTTCTTCGGCGCTTGAGGCGTTGCGGTCACGCCTCACCCAGCTGGAGGCGTCGATCCGTCCGCTTTTGACCGAAGGCTGTGGGTCCATAGCGACTGATCCGCAAGCGCATGCTCCACCAGGCCCCCCCCCCCCTTTCAGGTTCCATGATGGTGTGTCTTAAGGTTCTGGGTGTCAGAATAGTGATTTGGACCCAAATTATTGGGACTTTTGCGACTGCACAGGGCATGACGTGGGTACACCAACTTGCCAGGAAGTGGAGGTTCACCAAAGGCGGCAAAGCAAAGATACACTGTGGCGAATGATGCCATGTTACCCCATGGATTCCCAAGAAAAACCAAGCTTCCAAAACTCATGAGAGAACTGGAGCGATGCTAGCTGTCTCCCCCCATGTCCAGGGATTCCCGCGATGTTTCTGTTGTTGTTGTATTTCGCTCATTCTTTCCAGTTGGTTTGTTTCTTCTGAAATGGGGAGTCGACCTTAGGAAGAAGACTCTCCGAGGGATGAGCGGTCCAGGTTGGCTTGGATGTTCTTCAAGTTGAAAGCATGGGAAGTGCATAGAAATAAACGGCAGCGTTCTGGACTTGCAAGATCCCCACCCGTTTAAGAGTTGGGGGGGGGGAATTGTAAATAAATGGAATTCGGGGACCCCCGACCCCTCTCCCCCTTAAGGTAGGGGGGATCTTGCCAAGGAATCAGGAAGGCCCCTTCAAATACTAGGTCCCCCTTTTGGGGGAGGCTTTCCCTACTAAAATAGACTACCGAAAAAAACATCGGGTACCCTTATTCTAACCTCTCTACTGGAGGACCTAGAAGAACTTCTACTCGCAATCTATCACAGTCGGGACCTGGGGCTTCCTGCAGGTCCCCAAATATGGGTGTGGCTCAAAATTAAAGAGCAACGGCTTTGGTTCCATTTGGCTGTGGCTCAAAGTTAAACAGGAGGGGTTACGAGGGTTTTGGTCCATGTTTCCACTTAGGGTGCCATTTTGGTGCCGGTTTTTGGAGCCACAGACATTTACCAGGGTGCCATTTTGGTATCACTTTTTGGGCTCATAGACTTTGTTTTTTTTTTGGTGTTAAAACCATTGGTGCCATTTTTGTGGCTCACAGCCACAGCCACAGACATTTACCATTGGTGACATTTACCAAAGTGCCATTGTTTGGGTCAAAAGGATCAAAATCATTTGCCACAGCCAAATTTGTGTTTGTGCGTTTGGCTCCAGGAGCAGCTGCAAAGTACGCGAGCAGCTCGCGCCTCAGATTTGTCCGCTGCCTGCGTTAAAAACGGAAATGCTTCCATTTGCGTAAGTTGTTTCTATAACAATAATAGTATTATCATTATTATCATAATTATTATCATTATTATTATTATTATTATTATTATTATTATTATTATTATTATTATTATTATTATTATTATTATTATTTGTTTATTCTTTCCCGTGTTTGGAATACAGAGGAATCTATCACTACTGGAACTAGTTGTGTCCTTTCCAGAAGGCGTATAGAAGCAATTAAAAGGGGTTCTCAAAATACTGCCAACTTCAAAGGGCCGGGGGGGGGGACCACCAGTATGAGCAATTATCAGAAGTCCCGCGTGGCTAAACTGTGGAAGCTTTTTCGATCAGCCCAAAGCCTTCGCCCAGGTCGACCTCGTAGGCATGTGCAAGCTGAATTCACTCCAAAGCGAATCGACCGGATCTGGCCTTTTGGTGTTGGGTTTGGTCTACTGCGTCAAGGCTCCAAAAGGTGATCACCCGTTTCCATGTCGCTAAATGGCGAGTGAGATTCACTAGACTTGCTAAGGGACAGCCGGGCAATGGATGCGCTTCCGTTTGAAAGTGCTCCAAACCTCAAACCGATGGCCACTCACCTTTCAATCCTACCTGGCCCCGAGCCTGATCCCTGGAACGGCCTGATGTCAATTTTTCATCTACCCGTACCTGCCTCAAAGTTACCCCCCACTTTTTGCGGAGAAAGTTGGTGGGTCACCTCTCAGAGGTTGCAAGGGTCACTGACCCAATGGCAGATCTCGCCAATCTCACAGGCTTCCTTCCAATCCTCAAAGGGAACCTCAAGCGGATTTTTCAATGGACACCACCCGTAGATTGGTCATCTTTAAAATGGGAAATCCAGTGCTCCCTGTCATGTGAACCAGCGTGCATTGCAAGTAAGCATCCCTTCGAACCGATTGGCGCTTTTGCGTTGGTCCCCTGTAAACGGGCCCCGTTTTTTTGCTTTGTTCCCTAGGTTTGGCGCGGCCTTGTGGCTGCGTGGTGGCGGTGTTTTGGCTGTCGCCGGTCGGTCGGTCGGTCGGGCGGTGTGTCTGTCGGTCAGTCGGTCGGTCCGTCGCCCTGCTGCGTGGGTGGGTCGGTCGGTCGGTCGCCGGTTGGGCGGTCAGTCGGTCGGTCGGGCGGTGCTCCGGTTGGTCGGTCGGTCGTCCCGGTGAGTTGGTCGGTCGGTCGGGCGGTCGGTTGGCCCGCTGCGGCTTCTCGGCGTCCGGACCATCCCGCCGAACCTAGGAAAAAAAAGGCGGCGCCGAACCTAGACATCCGGCCCTGTAAACACCGTTCAACTTGCCGGTTGCCAGCCGTCCGGTTCCTTAGGTTTTAGTTGTTTCTTCTCATGTTTGTTGTTTCTTGTTTTACGGTTTCGTGGTTGATTTTCCGTATATCCGTCCTGTTCCTTAGGTTTTAGTTGTTTTATTCCTCTTGTTTTTTCCTCGGTTTCGTGGTTGATTTTCCGTATTCAACCCGCAAACAGTGTTATTCGCTTTTGGTTGGGGGCTCAGAAAACGGCCAGCCCAGTCAAATCTGCCCGAGTAGATTTCGGGCTCTCAGGAGCTCGCCAGTGCCGTGGCAGCAAACCGCGAGGCGCGGTGGGACGCTGCCGTGGAAGGGGGGCCCTTTGGGTTGGCAACCTGCGCCTTTTTTGGCGATGGGTGTGGAATAAATATATATATATATATATGTATAATTATTTATATAATATATATGTATATATGAAAATGTTGTTTTTGGTGTGAACCCAAACTGCAGAAGATATGTTTTGGGCCCCCTAACTCTGAAGCAAACCCATGTGCCGACCTTGTTAAGATGGGCTTCCGTTTGTTAGACGCAAGCTGCGTTTTGTGTTGAGGATATTTGTTTTGGGCTTTTAGGCAAACTGGTGGAAAACCCTCATTTCGAGAGGATTGGAGGGGTGGCCCCTTGAGATAGCGCTATGTACTGGAAGGGTACCATTTTTGGGTTGGTTTAAAAAGCAACCAAAAGGAGCAGCACCATTTGAATGATGCCTCATCATGCCTCTATTTTCACACATGCTCAACTCGGACTAAGAAAACACTGTTCGCCGAGTTGCGCCATCGGCACCCACGCCTTTTCTAGGTTCTAGCGAGGTCCGTGCGGATGACAAGGGGGTGTTTCTCGCTTCAGCTCTGAAGTGGGCCGCCCCAAATCAAAAGTACTATCCAAGTTTACCAAGGCCAGTGGATCCGAGTTAGGCATTCTGCCATAGCTGCCTGGTTCCTTTTGGCTGGGACATTGAATCACTGCGCAACCAAGCGCCGCCCAAAAGCGCAGGTCTCCTCGTCAAGTCCCTCAAGATCTGGCTCGGCTTCGGAGGCAGATTTTCCGCAGACTCAAACGGATGGATGAAGGTCAAATGGCTGTGGGTCAACACCCATGTACCATTTATTTTGGGGTAGGTGCACCACCCATTTTAGTCTATTTCAGTGGGGATTGGGATGTTCACTGGGGGTACGGGGTTTTGACCCACAGCCAAATCTGGGCAAACTCAATCCCTGAGTCCCTGGACTTGAGTCACTTGTTGTGAAGACCATTTTGGTGGTAAACGCGAAGTTAGACTTTTTCTGGCCGATTCACTTAGGAAGTGCGGTCAATTTGCAAGGAGCTTTCCGTTCTGGGTGAAAACGAGCTTACCCATGACAAAGGTCCTTTACTGGGGATTCTTGTTTGTTTATGGTTGCGCATTATAGTAATTTCCTCTGATTACTGCTATGTTCCCAGTAGTAGGGGGACAGTCCGAGCCGGAAATAAAAGCGGTCAGTTCTTCTGATTTTCTACCCGTTGAATTATTTATGTTTTTGACTGGACTCGTGCAATGCAAGTTGTTTGTGACTCACTTATGGCAGTAGACCACATGTACAGAAATCAATGCGGTGAAGCAAAGGGCATAAGCTCAAAGGGGCTGTTGATGTCAGTACCAGTGCATCGTACTGGGTAATTGGACGTGTTAACCTGAGGTCCAAATCAACATGAAGTCAAAGGGGTTAGTACATCATTTGCCTAAGGAGTTGCGTCATCCAAATTGGGTTAGCCATTCTTTTGGTGGGGGTTGACCCCCAAGGTGTAGTGATTGAAGAATGTTTCCTTTGGTTGCCGTCTTTTCTGCAACATGGAACCACGGGTCGCGCGAATCTGTCCTGGTGTATATGCCTCTGTTATCCAAACGATCGCTTTGCCAATCAAACAGCACCATGCAGCGCCCCTAAAAATACCAACTGATGATCATTTTCGCAAGGGTGTCTGGTTCCCCGGTTCAATAGGTCGGCAAATGAACTCTAGGCATCTTGGTGTCAATGGGTGAGTGTTGCTACGCGAGCCAAGAGTTGATCTTTGAATGCCAAGGCTGCCATCCCTGGCAAGCCATAGTAAAGGCTTCCAGCGACAGAAGGCGGTTCTTTGCTTAGTCTACGGGCTCTTTCTGAGAAGGATCCCTGAAGAGAGCGGGGAAGGTACCGCTGCACAGGGTCGTGAAATCACAGCGCGCCAAAAACCTGTGTTTCAACATGGGGTTTGGACCCCGGTGGGCTTCCGGGTTCCTTCTTTCCACAAAAGGCACCCTCGTAGCAATAAGCATGCAAGCGGTCCCTTTTCTCCAAGAGATTCCCTGAAAGAAAAGGAGCCGCGCACGCCAACATGGGTTTGCCTTCAAGTGACAGGCCGCGCAGGCTTCCATTTCTGGGGGTTTTGCTCCAAGAGGCGCATTTCGGAGTGGCCCAGATGGCCAAGATGTCGCGCAAACAGCTCGGGATCTGTTGCAGGCCCAGGCTCAAATAATAGGGTGGCTCATGGACACATGTGAAGCTGATGCGTTACATGTTCCCAATATGGTGACCTTTTTTTTTGTTTTAAGAAAAAAACGTAGCCCTCAACCTGGTTGGGTTTGCTTTGAAGCCTCGTTGGGGACACTTCCCCTTATGGTCTCAAAGTACCCAACCCCGCTCGATTTGCGTACGCCCTAGTTGTGGCCCTTCGCCGCAGGCGGACCCGGGCACCGATGCGGAGGCGCTGGCAGCATGACCCATTGACTTCAACCCAGTGCTTGGCACTAGTAGTTGGTTGGTTTCCCCAGCTCACCGTTTTTGTTTTTCTCCAGATTCCCTTCTTGGCAGTTTGGTTACCTGGGCCCCAGCTCACCGGGCTTTCAACTCAACGGGGAATCGAATCCTCGCGGCTACCAGTCGGCTTCCCCTAGGCCCCTTCTCCGTTCCGCGTGCCGTATCCAAATTGCACTCACTTCCCGGCGCAGGCGCGCGACAACCATTTGTGAGTTGAGTGTTGTGATTTGTTCCCCATGAGCCAGTCAGTTTTAAAGAGAATCTATCACTGTACATATGCTCATGAATTTTGTGAGGGCTTAAGCAAATGGAAGACAAACACGTCGTTTTTGGCCAATCCACTGCAAGATTCGCTCACAGCTGATTCCCCGGGAGTTGAGCCCACGGCAGGTTGGAGACGCGCTTGCAGCGCATGCCAGCTTGAACAACCAGGCCAGGATCTTTCCGCAACCAAAGCCTCCATTTTTGTAGTACCCCAAGGCAGGCCTATCAGTGGTTTATTTTTTTTGGGTAGACCAAGCACTCCTTGGTTAAAGTCCTAGGGTATTTCAAAGATGGAGCCCTCTCCGTAAAGCTTGATCAAGAGCGGCTGGGCTGTTCAAGGGCAATTACTCATCCTGGATAATGCAAGGAGTCCCCGTTCCACAAGGGGGTCCTACAGTCAAGGGCATCACTTGGACCAATTGTGGCTGATTTGCCCTGTGGGGGGGAAGAGTTATTGGCTCCCTGTTTCGAGAACTCACAGGATCGTGGACTCGGATTAGCCCCTGCGTGTTGAACAGCCCGTAGTATCTGGGCAAAAGCTATGACAAGGCACCTGATGCCAACTTTCTCACTTTTAGGTTTTTCTTGGTATCATCTTCCATTTGCTTGAGCCTGGGCGAAAAAAATAGTGGCATGTTTCCAGTGACCAATTCCTCGAAAAAGCCTGTGAATAGCTCACTGAAGGCCCCTCACTTGATCCCTGATTTGGCGGTGGTTGTCAAAAAAATAGGTACCCATTTCAAATGGCAAGCGCCCTGGTAAGTGGAAACATGGACCAAAACCTGCGGTCCAATTCCTGATGGTTTAATTCTGACCCATACCCATTTCTGGTTTGTGAATTTGCCCATATCGTTTGTCAGTATGTGCACGATGGCTCGAACGTTTGCCGGAGATGGTAGCAAGACGTGCATGGGCCGCAAGCGGCTGAGGGAATGGAGATGATGACCTGAAACTGTTGCTACACTAAGCCTGAAATAGCCTGAAACATGGACAGATTCTTGTAGTTCAATCCAACCATTCTTTTCAACCCTTGGGAGTCGAAACCCAGGGTCAAAAACTGGGGTGAAGCAGCAGGGGTCAAAAACCGGTGGTGAAAACCTATGGGTTAAAAAGTCCAGGGATCAAACACCAGAAATCAAAATCAATGGTCAAACCCTAGTCCAGAAAGGATCTGGAGCATTCCCTGCCTCCTCAAATGCCGGACAGGTAGCACCGGATGCGGCGGCTGAGGCGCACTGGCAGCTGCCAGGGACTGCGAATCTTTGCCATATTTCATCATGTCCGGGGGGTTCCTTTCAAAAGGCGGCCAGGGTCCAAGAAAAGGCGCCTACATTTTTCGGAAAATGGCCGAATCTTGGTGGCTCCCAGCCATCCGGTTCCTTAGCCGTTTAGCCTTTTAGTGTTTAGTGGCAGTTTCCATTCAACCCACTCAGGGTTGAACTTTTAGCGGGGGATTTGAGGGCAGTTCAGGAAAGGTTATGGGATGTGCCATGGTCAAAACTCATTTTTACTTGGAGCCTCTTCGTAGGAAGAGCCATGACAAAGATAGGAAAATGTCCATTGTGAACAGGGTACATGGGTATGCCACATCCGGGTCCTGAGCCTGACTTTGCCTGGGGAACGAAAACACATTCACATTTGTGTTTCATATGTTGGCGTGTCCGTTTGTTTCCGGTATGTATCCCGTTTCTTGGAAGTTGCTGTTTGGTACTTCAGAAGTGGACATCATCGTGTGATTTGAAACAGAGCGGGGGCTCCCTGGATCTTGCGGAGGAAACTTGAAGGCACGTGTGTTCCTCACTTCCTGAGTTCCTGGAGTTTAGTCACCTTTAGTTACTGTTTGGGTCTGGACCATTTGAAAACAACAGTGACTTTTTCTGGCCGACCCACTCGATCGGACGTGAGGAACTGTCGATATCCAAGGTCCTTGAACACCCCAAGACCCCCAAGCGATTTGGGAGTGTCTTTCTTGGAGGGTTCCCTTTTTGGCGCGCTTTGTTATTTGTTTAGGGGGAAGCCTTTCTCGGACAGCACCCGTTTTGCCGGGGGGTTCCCGAGACACGGTTCAGTCGGGTTGAATGAGGCCGAAGGAGGCCCAAAGCCTTTGGTCTTGGGGCTAGGGCAGCATATCTTGGGGTAATTGAACCACTGGCTCGGCTCTAGCAGCCTGGAGGCCTCACATATAAGTATATACACATGATTTTGATTTGTTTGCTTATCTATTCATTGATTTATTCATTTATAGACTCTAGACTTTATGTGTACGTACATATCTGTGCAGGTATGTGTATACATATACATATATGTATATTTACCCACCTTGGCGGCGCAGTGTGGGGCCTACAATGCGGCTATGCCGGGCGTCCGGGGTTTGGGGAGCTGCTTGACCGACCATGGCAGGTCTCAAGCGCGCCAGCGCATGCCCGCCACGATCAGGCCGTGGCTGGAAGATACTTGGGTGTGGGTCAAAATTAAACCACGGGACCGCAAATTTTAGTCCATGTTTCCATTTACCAGGGTTTCATTTTGAGTATCTTTTTTCGACCCATAGCCACTTGGATGTCCAACCGACTTAGTAGGTTATACGCATATGGCCGTGGTTGTCAAAACCGTTGGGATCCCATCTTGGGCTAGGTGCTCCACCCAGTTTAGTCTATTTTAGTGGGGATTGGGATGTTCACTGGGGGTACGGGGTTTTGACCCATGGCCATATGTATTGCTGGTGTAACTGGTGTTACTGGGGTGATTGTCCCCTTGTAACCATAATTACACCCTGCGTACTGACGTTGGTTGAGCACGGAGACAGGCTTGCTGTTCGACCTCCAACATGGAAAGTTGACCAAACCGAAAGGGTATGGCTTCTCGGGAACCAATAAATTGGTAGTTTCCTTTTTGGTTTCCCTTCTCAACAAGCGGTACCTCAGAAGACAGCCAAATAGGTTTGGTCTTCGTGGGGACTTCCCCTTTCAGGTTGGCAACACCCTTCGCAGTTCGAAGCGATCGATGGACACCCACCACCTGGAGTCCCCAATTTTGCGTTGCGCATTTCAGAAGCATGCGTCCGGCAGGGCTGGCAGCATTTTGCTTGGCTCAGCAAGTGTTGTAAGCTTTCAGAAGTGGCAGGATGTCAGAGATCTTGCAAATGCAAGTTTACACAAGTGGATCGACCAATTCCAATTTTATTCATAAAGGTGAGGACCAACGCAACGTTTTGGAATAGTGCTTGCTACTTTCACCCAGCTGTACAGCTCAGAAAACACATATTTTGCAGGCAGCCGATGCACATGTTAGCCCCCACATTTTTCATGGCAGTTCGGCCAGGTGACGCCTGATTCTCCAACGAGTGCACAGGTGCGCTTGCCTGAAATGTGTGACGTCAAGCAGCTTTGGCATGGAAGCCGCGCAACATGCGATGGCACTTGTAAGGCAGACTTAAACAGAGGTGCATTTTGCTTGGATGTTATGACTTTAACTTGGTAAGTTAAACTTTTATCAGGGAAGCCGAAAGCAACCGAGTAAAGCAATCCGGTTCACTTTTTCTGCGACATGCCAAACATGTCTGTGAAAAATGGCACGCGCGCCTGAGAGGGTGTGCCGGTTTGGCGGTGTGTGTGCACGTGTGTGTGTGTGTGTGTGTGTCTTTGTGCTTGCGTTTGTGTTGCGTGTTTGCGAGTTTGTTTGTGTGTTTGGCTGATGCATGATTGCCTGCTTGATTTGATTTTATTAATTGACTGATTGACTGATTGGATTAGATTAGATTAGATTGGATTGGATTGGATTGGATTGATTTATTTATTGATTGATTGATTGATTGATTGATTGATTGATTGATCGATCTTGCGTCACAAGTGATCCTCACTAGTGACTCAGTTCATCAAAACTTGAACATGCTGTCACGGCGGTGTTTGTCACTGCCTCCGCATGTTTGCGTCTCCTGTGAGACCATCGCAAGGCGAAGCTGAACTTTGGGGCCCGCCAAGCCCATAGCATCCTTAGGGAATCCTTGCACAATCCTCTGGTTGCGCCGCCTGTCCGGCAAGTCTAGGCTTCAACAGGTGTTGCATCATGCTACAGTAGCCTCCCGGTGACTATAAGAACATATCACGGCGCTTCATGCCAAACCAGGGGCGTTCCCACCCACACAGGGGTACACTCACGCTAAACTCACGCCGCCCTAAATGTATAAGATTTGTCACCCCAGCCATTGAAACTATCAGTCACTAATTGCATTTGCAATAATACGTTCATAAATTCAGCGCAGTTGGACAGGTATCACTAGGCAAACTCCATTCAATATTTTTTTTGCCCTGTAAAGTGCAGGCTGTTGTGCAGCATAGCACAGTGCACGGCGCATGATGTGAAGAAGAAAAAAACACAGTTCAGGATCTTGAGGTGCTGAAGGGTTCCCCACAATGCCTCCGCCAAAATGAGGGTAGCCCCCGCCAAATAGTCACGCAGCCCCTACAAGATTTCCACGCTCCCCGCCAAACGCAAGCTGGGGCATGAAGGTTTGTTTGTGTTTTTGTTTGCTTGTTATGTGTGTTTCTTTCTTTCTTTCTGGCTTGCTTTATTTTTGTTCTTTCTTTCTTTTGTTTTGTTTCTTTTTTTTGGTTTCTTCATTTTGTTTCTTTCTGTCTTTCTGTTTTTTTTCTTTTTTTTCTTTCTTTCTTTCTTTCTTTCTTCTTTCTTCTTGTCTTTCTTTCTTTCTTTCTTTATTTTGTTCGTTCGTCCGTTCTTTATTTCCTTGGTTCCTTTTAGTTTCTTTGGTTCTCTTGGGTGTTTCATCGTTTCTTATGTTTTGCTATTGATTGTTTTTTTTTTTGTGTGTGTTTGTTTGTTTGTTTGTTTGTTTGATTGTTTGATTGTTTGTTTGTTTGTTTGTTTGTTTTTGTGTTTGTTTGTTGGTTTTTTGTTGTTTTGCCTGTTTGTGTTTAGTGCGGTGTGTGAACGTGCAGGCATGCGCTTGGTACATCACGCCAGGTGGGAGCCGCGCTCGCAGCACATGCTTTTCAAAACGACCAGGCCGGAGCTGGCAACGTGCGCCTTTGCTTGGCGGTTCGCAGCTCGTCCCCTTAGGTTTTTAGGTTTGTAGAGTGGGGGCTTCCACTAGACCACCAAAAGTTGAGCTTTGAGCGGGGGATCTGAGGACGGCCCAGTGTTGGGAAAGGGACCCTTCAAGAGGGGTTTCTTCGGAGACATTAGAACACCCCATTCCCTGCTGAAAGGTTCTTAGTTTGGTCCGAGCAGCTCCAAACGATGGTTCCGGAAAGGTTCTAGGCTGCTGTCGGGATACTGCCTGGGATTGGCTTTGCGTGATCCCCTTGTGTTTTTGTTGTTTCGAAGAGAAGCCAAGCGCAAAACCACCCATTTTGTGGGTCCTTTTTGAGACAAGTATCTTACAATCATGTTTCATGATGTGGGAGGCACCCGTAGAAGCTGCACCCTCTTTCAGGTAAGGCAGGAGCCGGCGGCAACCGCGCAGGCGCGTGCCCGATGCGCATCTTTGGCTTTGAGATTCTTGCAGAAGCTTTCAGTACCATAAATTTGACAACATCATCTATTCGCGCCCCAAAACGTAATTCATAGAACCACGGGGCAGGCAGGCAGGCCGGACCAGGTAACCAGCCGGCCAAGCACAACCAGGCAGGCAGGCAGGCATGCACCCACATACACACACAAACACACCCACACACACACACTCACACGTACGCACGTACATTAACATACATGATGGATGCACACACGCATACACCCATACAACCGAACATACATTGCGTCAAGTTACGTCACATTACTTTACATTACATTAGATTGCATCACACTGCACTACATTGCATTACATACATACCTACTTGCGTGTGCAGGCATACATACTGTAGCCATAGTACGAGACAGAGATGTGTAGACAGCCGGAGGTCGCGCTGAGGAGTTCAAACTGTGGAGAGAGATTCGCGTAGTATCGCTTGCAGTATGCTGGATGCAGCTTGCCATTTGTGGAATGACCACCGTCATACGAGTTGCCTGCATTGGCATGTGTCAAGCGCTCTGGCAGCGCATGCTCACCTGCATGACCAGCAGGCCATGGTTGGCTTTGCACATTGACTTGATGCAGCGAGGGGCATATTGGGACTGGAGTTCTCATGTCGAACGATTTGTTTGTTGTGGGATGTGGGCATTTGCCTGATTTTTTCCACGGAGCTTTGGTGACAGGCAGTAAGTGGCATAGAATCATGTTTGAGCTGCAGCTCTAGTGTTTTCTTTTGATGCTCCAGCTGTGGATTCCTCATGGCGGACTCCACAGTTTGGGCATCCAGCATGTTGTCTAGAGCAGCACAAGGCGTGCTTGTTGCTATTGCAAACGAGCGCCGCCATAGCAAATCGGGCAGTCTCAACAAGCCTTCATCAAGAAGTGTGGCAGTGTACCACCAGCTGCAGGCTGAGCAGCAATTGCGTTCGTGAATAATGGCGACATCAGAGCGGGAGGCTGCGACATGGGGACCTCTTAGGCAACTGGATTCGTGATGGGACCCCTTATTTTGCGTGGCAACGAAACGTTTATCGAAACCCCGGCCAGTTTAAATGCCATTCAAAGACTCCAGCCGACCAGGTGCAAACCCCCGCAGGTGCACAGGCGCGCGTGTCGTGTGGCATGGTGGGGTCGTGTGGCATGGTGCAGTGGCTCACTTCCTGAGTCCATGGACTTTGAACTTTTTGGGAAGACCATTTCAGTGGCAAAACACAGGTTTGGACTTTTTGTGGCCCATCACATCAGGAAGTGAGGGGGTGCTTGCATGTTGTTGTTGTTGCTGGCTCAAACATGATCCTGTTGTTTCTCCTTTTTTTTTTTTTGGGGGGGGGGTGCTGATGTTTTGAGCAGACATGCAGGGAACCCACCCGATAAATTTCCCGTTGTGTGGTTGCGTTAACACAGATTGAGCGTCGTTGGCACCACGAGCAAGACAGCATGCCTTGCAAGCAGACCTTGTTTATGATTTGCTGAGGTGTTTGACCCCTGGAGTTCCATTCCTCCTATGTTCTTCTGTGAAGGCTCAAGCGTGGAATACGCCTCCCATCGCTGAGTTGGCAGGTTGCAACTGCGCTTGCACCACATGCTCGTCTGAATGACCAGCAGGCTAGGGGCTGCCCATTTTTTGCTTCATGTTGCAGCAACTCAGTTTTGCTCCTTTTTGCTAAGGAGCAGGGTTGTGGGAATGACGGTTGCTTCCGAGTTCTGTGATAATTACCAAGGAACATACTCGTCAAGTTGGTGGGGAATGTGTTGCTGCGAAGGCCCCTGCACTGGCAATTATCGCAGAAGAGGGCCATTCCCACCTTAATCAGGGTAGACCTTGCTTCTCAGAACCCTTCTAAGAACGTCCCACCCCCTCAATGGCAGAACATGAGGCGGATGTCCAAGTATGCAAGGTACAATTGTTGACGTGTATTGAACATGTAACTTCGCTGCTTTTACGTACTGACATGCAAAAATACCATGGGCTGAGGCACTTTGGGTTCAGCAGCTTGCATCCTTTCAGGGGAAGGGGGGGGGAAATGTAAGATCTGATTCCCGAGGTAGGTGCACCTTCGAAAATGTAACTTGCATTTTCCGACGTGCCCCCCCTTCAAGCAGGGATTTAAGAACCTTTGTTCAGAAGACCTTATCGCCTTTCGCGAGGGGTGGACAGGCTTTTGGCTCCTCCTCATTTGATGCCCAAACGCATCCACCTTGCAGCCCATTTGGATTTAACAGAGAGGCGGAGCATGTATTTGCGCCAGTCATGTTACAAGCCACCGTTACCAGCTGATTGCGAGGATCCCCGATAAAATCAGTGTTTTTTTTGGATGTATCATTGAGGACTCCTGATACACGCGCAGGTCAGACAGGAGCCCCTGGCAACGCAGGCGGGTGCCAGTGTCAAGCAACAAGCGGAGGCTTGTCTTGTACGGAATCCAGTTGGCGCAATTTGCCCACGCCAACTTTGTCTAGATCCTACATGGTACTTCCTTGGAACTATGGTTGGCAGATATATTTTTTTTTAGAGAGGACCCCTCTGGTTTCCCCGTCGGTTTTTCTTTTAAACTACAAGACAAGGGCAACCCTCGAAGAAAGACGCGCCTATTTGTGCAACGCGGGCTTTGCTGTTGGGGAATCGGTTTTTGGGTAGGCCGCTTTCCGGCCCCTGGCGGTGTCTGATTCAGGAACGTCGATACAAGTGTTTGTCTTATAGTACTTCTCAATTCCTGGTTCCTAGACTTCATGCTTTTAGTGGCAAACGAAAAGTTTGGACTTTTTCTGGCCTCACTTAGGAAGGACTTTCTGTTTCCTGCCACAAGTGCCACTGAGCATGCTTACCTGAACGAGGCCGGGGACAAAACAACAACCGTTTTCTTGCAGTGGTTTGCATGTTCCGGGGGGAAATGTTAAAACGCCCGTTCGCAGGTCGTGCCCAGGAAGGGTTCGGAATCCGGGATCGACAGTCCAAATGTCTCTCCTGTGAGAAGGCAGATTTGGAATGCTAGGCCTCACAAGTGTGGAGGCTACAAAGTGCAAACTCAGTTTCCCCGTGACAGTTTCTCCGGTGGCACTCCTGAACTTTGTGTCTGGAACCATAAAAAAGGACCTACATCCCCGCCGAATGGCGTCCTCACTTAGCTCTCCCTGAGACTCTGGGGTCAAGATGAGCACATCCCCTTTCCGGTTTGGGAATTCAATTGGCCCAGAATCAGGTATGTGGAAGCTACAACAGAAGGAGTAACACAAAGAACAGCGAGAATTAACAGTTTGAAGCTCCAGATTCTCAAGGTGTGACCCAAACTTCAACAATTTCAAGCTGAGTTTGGGGAGGCTTGTCAAAAACCAAGTCTTTTTGTTTGTGTACCCTCCCCTCAACTAGCAGCCGCACCTTGGCAGGGGGTCCCTGCAAATGGAAATTTAAAAGGTCTTCCAGGACCATTTTTATCAGATTCCATGTTGACTGGTGCGAGGGTATTCCCCCTTTGAGCAAGGCCCAAGGCCAAAGGCCGCCCAAATAGCTTGGCCAGGCCGCGGACCCGGCAAGTGCCCAGGCGCGCACGAGTCGAGGGAAGCGGCAGGCGTAATATAGGCACGGAAATGGGCGAGTACAGAGACTTAGCCTCCTCCGACTTGCGGATGCATGTTTTTGTTGATTTATGTATGGGGCGGTGTCGGCAGGGACGAGAAGCGTTCTACCCTGTTGGGAGTATTGTGACATGTCAGGTTGCAAGCGCACTTGCAGCACATGCTCGCCTGAACGACCAGGCCGGCACAAGTCGGTTTAGGCGGTGTAGTTTTTTGCATGACAATGCCGGGAGTGGACGGGAGCGGCAGGTGTTGTGGGGAAGATGTTGCAATATCCACGATAGTTGGCTGTCAGAGGAAGCTCCTTGCAAAATGCACGAGCCACATATGATACGTCATGTGATTTTGGGTGTTTGCATTTCCTTTGTTGCATCTTAAGAGCTATGCCAGATGTCGTGACAGATTGCCGGAGCAATTGGCAGGATCCTGCGCCGTGTGAGGTGTGTCATAGAAATACAACCATACAAAGCCTGCGCACCGACTCCCTGTTTGGCCAGTCACGCAGGACCCTGCGGCGAGTGCTCAGGTGGGTCCGAGTGTTGTGTTTGGATTGGCGTGGTTGTCCGGTTTCTTGTCCAAGTTAACCTCACGCATCACAAGTAGACCTTGTGCAAAGGAGCACCCCAATCAAGGCGATGTGCTGAAGTGTTTTGCTTGCACGAGTTGTTTGTTTGATCGTGTTTCATACATTGGAGGCTGTTGTCAGGCAGAGATGCAAGACAGGACTTTTGCGAGCGTGCACCTGTACATTGAATGTTTGGCAATTTGTGGCCTTAAAGGAGAGATGGCAAAGCAAGTTGATATTGTTTGGCTTCAAGCTATATATATATATATATACACATATGTGTCTGTGTCTGCGCGTGTGTGAATGTGTGTGTGTGTATGTTGTGTACAGTATGCCTGTGTTTGATGTCTCGTAACAGGTGAGTGTATTCCAAGTGTGGAGCATTGACACATTGTCAGGTTGCAGGCGCACTTGCAGCACATGCTCACCTGAACGATGAGGCCGGCATAGCTTGGGCGTTGTGCACGGTGGGCTTTGTGTATTTCAACTTCGGATATTGATGGGACTGACGAGGTGTTGATTGGAAGATGTTGCAAGTTTGTGCACGTGGTCGCCGGCCAGGCACAGCTGCGTTCAAGGTACACAAGCCAAACGCCGCATATACCATAGATACGTCACCTGATGTCACGTGTTTGCATTTCCTTTGCAATGCCTAAATCTCGCAGGATCCTCGGGCGAGTGCTCAGGTGCGTCCGAGTGTTTTGGGAGGATTTGCGCGGTTGTCTGGTTGCTTCACCAGCTTGCCCGCACGCATCACAAGTAGACGGAGAGCAAAGTGATCACCGGAGGTGGGCTGGAATGTCTCATACACAGAGATGCAAGACAGTACTTTTTGAGAGCGTGCAGTTGTGCCAGTTGAGTTTTTGCGGTTAGTCTTGTGGCCCTAAGGTGAGATGGCACAACGAGTTGATATTGTTTGGCTTGAAGATATGTTTGTGTGTGTGTGCACATTTGTGTGCGTGAATGTGTATGTGCGTGTATTTTGTGCACATTGTACATGTATGCCTGTGTTTGATGTGTCTTAGCAGTGCATGCCACGACACGTGAGTGTTTGGCCCGGTTTGGAGCATTGACACGTTGTCAGGTTGCATGCGCGCTTGCAGCGCATGCTCACCTGAACGATGAGGCCGGCATAACTTGGGGGTTCTGCGATCGCGGGTCAGGCTTAGCTGCGTTCAAGGAACACAAGCCACATACCGCACATAAATATGTCACGTGTTGTCGCCTGTTTTTTTCATTTTTGTTTGAACCGAGACGCCTAAAACTCTGGTGGAGGTCATTACAAAACTTGTTCGAATGCCCTGCCCGTATACATGTGAAAGTAGTAGAACTGCTTGCAGCCAACAAAATCCGCCTGTTTGACCGCATCATGCAGGACCCTGCGGCGAGTGCTCAGGTGCGTCCGAGTGTTTTGGGAGGATTTGCGCGGTTGTCTGGTTGCTTCACCAGCTTGCCCGCACGCATCACAAGTAGACGGAGAGCAAAGTGATCACCGGAGGTGGGCTGGAATGTCTCATACATTGAATGCTTTTGTAAGGCAGAGATGCAAGACAGGACTTTTTGAGAGCGTGCAGTTGTGCCAGTTGAGTTTTTGTGGTTAGTCTTGTGGCCCTAAGGTGAGATGGCACAACGAGTTGATATTGTTTGGCTTGAAGATATGTTTGTGTGTGTGTGTGCACATTTGTGTGTGTGAATGTGTATGTGCGTGTATTTTGTGCACATTGTACATGTATGCCTGTGTTTGATGTGTCTTAGCAGTGCATGCCACGACACGTGAGTGTTTTGCCCTGTTTGGAGCGTTGACACATTGTCAGGTTGCAGGCGCGCTTGCATCACATGCTCACCTGAACGATGAGGCCGGCATAACTTGGGGGTTCTGCGCGGTGTATTTTGTTCATTTCAATTTTGGTCATGGACTGGAGTGATGAGATGTTGTGTGAACGGTGTGGCAAGTTTTTACATGTGATCGCGGGTCAGGCTCAGCTGCGTTCAATTTACACATACCGCACAAAAATATGTCACGTGTTGTCGCCTGTTTGCATTTTTGTTTGAATCGAGACGCCTAAACTCTGGTGGAGGTCATTACCAAACTTGTTCGAGTGCCCTGCCCGTATGCATGTGGAAGTAGTAGAACTGCTTGCAGCCAAGAAAATCCGCCCCTGTTTGACCGCATCATGCAGGACCCTGCGGCGAGTACTCAGGTGCGTCCGAGTGTTTGCTTGACGAAATTGGCCTCACGCATCACAAGAAGACGGTGTGCAACGATCACCCCGATCAAGGTGACGTGAAGTGTCTTTGCCGCGTGAGTAGATGTTTCTTTGCTTGATGCCATTGTAAGGGGTAAGAGATGAAGGGACTACTGATATTGCGAGTATGATCTGGACTTTGTCACCAAATGTTGTTGTTTTATTGTGGCTTCATCGCGAGATGGCACAATGAGTTGGCATGGTTACGCTTGCAGATATGTGTGTGGTTCGATTGTGAGCGTTTTTGCACTACATGTTAGGCTGCAAGCGCGCCAGCAGCGCATGCTGGCCTGAACGACGAGGCCAGCATATGCCAGCCGTGTGGATGGTGTAGTTGTGCCGGGCAGTATGGGATATGGATGGGAGGCTCGAGGAATGCGTATGTGCGTGTGTGCGCGGAAGATGTTTCATATGTCCAAATACATTCCCGCCATGGGTTGGCGTTCAGAGACAGCTACAGTTGCCCATGCGCGTGATACTAGGTTGCATTCACATATAAACGTCTAAAATGCTCCTGCACATGTCATGACAGCGTCCACAGCAGTTTTTACTTACACCGGCACAATCTTGCTGTTGCAAAAGCAAGACCATGCAAGACCTCAAGTTTGTTCTAATGCTCAGACCATACGTAAGGAAAGTAACACTGCTTACAACCTGACGTTCAAAGAAGAAATCTAGTAGGCAACCCGGCGTGGTTTGCCAAGCACGAGCCCCCAGCAACGCGATGTGCTGAAGGGGCTACACTGCGCAAGTTGATTTTCCCGGGACTATCGGGCATTATTGTGGCTTCATGGTGGCCAGAGCTAGCATGGTCAGGCTTGCAGATGTCTGTGTCTGTGTTGTTACCCACGTGTCTTTTGTTTTAAGAGGTTGCAGCTGATCTCATGGCAGCAGACTTCAGAGCACTTATCCGTTGGTTTGTGCTTGTTTCTTTGAACAATCAGCACCTTTAAGATGTTCTGATACCAGAGAAGATGCGCGACACCTACTGCTTGCAGCGTGTTCCTTCGCGCGTGTTGTTCGCGTCTGCAACACATAGAACACGGAGTCGACTACCCAGCCAACTCGTTTTGACACAGCCAACTTGGCGCTGGTTTTGAATTTGTTTTTGAGTGTACCCAAAAAGAACAAGCACAACTTGGTTCTGTATCCTTGTTGGCCCATATGTTCGATCGAGCCAGGCTGAGAAGCTGGCAGAAAGCCGTGAGGAAGTCAAGGTTTTGCGGGAGGACAGAGTCTCCAGATGGAGGAACCTCAAAATGAGAAGCGTCCCTTTGGTTTGAATTGCAAACATCCCCAAAATGGGTACCGGCACCTGCAAGCTTTGCAGCACCCAAGTTGACGGCTCTGGGCCAAGGTCTGATAACAGGGCCAGCCCCACAGTTTCCGGTCTCCCGTTAGTTGTCTCCCGTTGAAAGCAACCTCCCCGAACTTTGGCGCCCCTGATCTTCATTGCTCGCACTCCACCTTGTATTTTCAATAGAGCCAAGTTGCCATTGGACAGCCACACTCAAATGGCTCCATGTCCACAAGACATCCCCAAGAGGCGGGGCTCCATTTGGGAAAGAGGGACATCATTTTCGCATTCCAACACGATCGTACCTGAAGCCTTTGCTCAGTTTTGAGCGGCGCAGATGGCGCGCCGTTCGGTGGGTTGAGCTGCCATTCCTTTCGACGAAGCCATGGTTGGCCGGAAAGCTTTCCCACTGCCGGCCCAATCATGGAGCCCACACCGGCCTGAGGCACAATGGAAATGATTCGGCAGTTCAGAGGAGGCAACAAACGGTGCAACCGTTCCAACGGTGCAAGTTGTGATCTTGCGATCTGAAACGTTTTGAGTCTGTTTGCAAGTTGGGCCACCTTCCCCCCCCCCAACAAAAAGAGAGAGAAAAAAAAGCAGCTTGCGGGTATCCCCTTCCTGGTGGCTTTTCAGGGAGACAGCCAAAAGCTTTTGCCACCATTTTGTGAGGGGGCGCGGGGGGTGGGTTTCCCTAAAACAAGACACACCCAAACAAGACGCCGCCTCGCATATAATTACGCATCTCGCATCTAGAGACTTGAAGGGAAATGCATGGCCAACTCAATACAACAACCTTTTAGGTGGGGGCACCTGAATACCTGAATGCCTGCAACTACTGCTGATTCGGAGTTTACCCCTTTGAATTCTGGGTGTTGGACAAGAACGGTATTTTCTTCTAATTATCTCTGCCGCTGCCGCTCATTTGCGGGGCCGTTTTTTTGGCAATCAGGGAGACCTTAAAGACACCTGACGACTCCACAGACCCAGCAAAACATGCGCGACCACCGAAAGGAGCTCGAAAAGATGAGCGTCGCGAAAGTAGAGGCCGGTTGGCTGCAACTTGGGGATGCAACTCCTTCAGTCTGAACCCAATGGCATCCGCCAAGACCTTGTTGTTTGCGGTCATTGGGATTTAAGCCCTTAGTGTCCAAGAGGCTCATAGGTGTTTGTCCATTGTTTAGCTTTGTTTGAGTTTGCTTTTTTGCTTTCTCTTTTTGTTGCCTTTTTTTTCAGGAAGGGTTGCCCAACAAATTGACAGTCAACCTGAAGGGGTGCCCCTTTCGTTCCCATGAACATCCACCGGGCTGGGGTTATTCCCTTTTGCAATGAACCCTCTTGCCGGAATTGGCAATATTGGCCATGGTTCAAAACCAACAGTACCATTTTGGGATAGGTGCACCACCCATTTTAGAACCTATTCTAGTGGGGATTGGGATGTTCACTCGGGGTACGGGGTTTTGACCCATGGCAATATCCCAAAGCTCTAGCACAATGTCCCCTTGGAGGGGCTTTCCTATTGGAAGATGACAGTCCCCCCCGGCAACAAGTGCAACAAGTACAACTTGCTACGCTTGTTCTTGTGGTTTTAAGGGGACACCAACAGGAAAGCCACTGCGACATGTTGGGGCGGTCCGACCTTAAAAAGACGACCAATAAGGTTGAGTGGTACGGGTGAGGTGGCGGTGTCATGCATCAACGACTGGCGTAAGCCTTGGCAGGCCGAGCGCGCCGCATTGGCTGCCGAAAGCGCCAAAAGAGCGCAGCAGTCGTTGGAGGCTGGAAGTGAGAAAAGCCAGCTAGTCTAAGTTCAAGCCATCCTTTGGGTTACAAAAGATTCGAGCTTCTGTTTGTTCGTGGCATCTAAGCAAGCAATGATGGGAACCACCCTCCATGTTCATTGTCAGACTTAGCTTGCTTTCTTAGCTGTCCTTTTTGGGTAACCTTCAATTTTTGGTTCAACCAGAAACATGTTAACTTTTTGTTGGGGGGGTTCTAATTCTGGCCCTTCTGGAGAGCGAGTGTGTGTTCTTGACCACCATTCTGAGCACCCCTTCTTTTTTTTGAACAGGGTCGTCAAAGGACGGGTGTGCCCAGTTCCTTCATTGTCGCAGGCTCTGATAATGGACAGCTTCTGTCACCTGGCGATGAGTTTGATGTTTGGAACACTTAGCAAGCAGAAATACACAGCCCAGTATTTACCCACAAGTTGCTTCGTGAGGGTATCCCTTTCTGGTGGTTTTACAGGGAAACCACAAGGAAATCTGCTGCGTCACTTTCGGGGGCCGCATCAAACCATCAACCAAAGACGAGAAGACGAGCAACCCAAATGGTGGCTGGACGTCAGCCACCACCCGTAAATGATGTCCACAAACGAGTCCCCATTAAGCCATGCCACCTCTTGCTAAAATGCGTGGCGCATTTTGCGCATTGCGAGAACGCTCTGGTTGCTCCCTTCCCGGCGATTCCATGTACCCCTTCCCGGTATTTTGAGAACCAAGGAGTGGTCTATAATACATGGCTGAGGCTCAAAAACCGGGATTCCAAAATGGAACCCTAAGTGGAAACATGGAAACCAAAACCTGCGGTTTGCCCCTCCCGTTTAATTTTGAGCCACAGCCACATGCCTATGGATCGAATCCATCGATCCAACCTTTGGGCTTGGTCCTGGTTCAGGTTCAGGTTCCAAAAGGTGACCTTTTCTTCCAGGTCCCGGGCAAGTTTGATAATAAACTACGTATGTAATTCACGATCCTGGAATCACCTGCTATGTATCACAACACATATATTGAAAGGGAACTGGATCTTCCATTTGTTCAAGATTTGTTTCCCCCTGTTGGTTTTAAAAGGAATCAATCACTACTGGACATATTTTTCAATTTGTCCGGGAGGCTTAAGCAAATGGAAGGGATGCACAAAGGTTGCTCGGTTTCTCCCTCTGAAAATAGAGAACTTCCACTTGGCTGGTCAGGCGCCGCTGAAGGAAGAGCTCGCTCGGCTGCAGGCTCGGGGCATGTTGCGAACATAGGCTCCTGGCTTGTGCTTTCAATGGAAGACCCGACCCCTCCATTGGACACGTTGGAGGTGGTGGGTCTCAAAGTTGTTTGAAGGCCCTAAATGAATCGAAGTGGAGGTTCTGTGGACATGAATCTTCTCACCGAAATGATGTCCACCAAGGGGTGTCTACTTAAGATTCATGCCCATAGTTTCCCTTTGTGCTTGTTTTGGACATCACGTATCAGGTCAATGTCCAAGGGAGTTTCCTGTAGGCGGGTTGTGTACAGGGAAATGCAGGGATCCCTGATGGTGTCCCTTTTGGCGCATATACTTGACATCGCTGGAGCATGGTTGGCCAGAGATGTGGGTGGGTGGGTGGGTGGGAGGGCGAGAGTGTGGGAGGGTGGGAGGGTGGGAGGGTGGGAGGGTGGCAGGGTGGGAGGGTGGGAGGGTGTGCTTGTGGCAACTGTTGGACCTTTTTTTGCAATGTCTTCTGTTCTGCACTTAGCGACGGTCGCTTGTTTCTGCCGGTGCTAGCGGATTGGCAAAGCCAGTTGCATGCACGCCGCCACGTGATGTTGTGAGCTCGGGCTTGTTGCTTTGTAGGCAGAGCTGCAGCAAGCAGCCGCACTCAAGGAGGAAGTCAACTCTCTGAAGGAGGACTCTGCATGCGCAATTTGCGAAGTTTGATGTTGCCTGGCGTAGCTTGGTTTGGCCTGGAGAGTAGGCTGGCAGAGTTAGTTGACCTTGGCATCCTATTTTCGCAGTGGTTGGCTGCGGCGTTGCACGAGCACATGTTGGTTTGCTGCGTGTGTTGCAAGGATTTGGCTGGCGCCTTGAAGGCAAAGAAGGAGGCAGGGCGAGGGGCAAAGGTAAGAGGAGTAGATTTGGCTGTGGGTCAAAACCAATGGTACCATTTTGGGGTAGGTGCACCACCCATTTTAGTCAATTTTAGTGGGGATTGGGATGTTCACTGGGGGTACGGGCTTTTGACCCATGGCCATCTAGCGGAAGCGTAGCGTTATCCTGTGAGCCATATTGCCGAGGCACGAGGTGAGGAAACGAAACGCACAGTAAGGGAAGTGATGGCTGGCCAAACTGCCTAGGAACTCCCAATCATTGCTTGTGCCTTGCGGTTTGCAAGTCTCTGATGCATCGAGGCTCAGGCGGCTGAGCAGGAGTTGCAGCAGCTGCGAGCACAGGCGCGTGGGTGGTGGCTGCAAAGGCGACAGGAATCCTCTGAGATGATTCTGCTTTCACGGTGCTGGTATCAAGCCAATTCGCAGTATTTTTCATTTATGCTTGGTGTGGTTGCACTGAGATCAAGCGGCGAGAAATTGGAGAATCGAATGTCGGTGAGGCAGCAGCTGCGCAAGTAGCGAGTACTTCGGCAGAGAAGCAGACGAAGGATTTGCAGCGGCTCAAAGACGAGGCCTGCGCATGCCGCCTAGGCTCGTCCATGCGGCAAGGCACTGTCGTTCAGGCCGAGCGTGCTGCGTCAGCTGCCCAAGCGGAAAGCGCCCAAAGAGCCCAACAGCTAAAGTTGTTGGAGGAAGAGGCGGGAAGTACGCAGTGAGAAGAAAGGAGGGAATCTCATTGATGAACAGGCATGCGTGAAAAATCAAATTTTGAAGACCTGTGTGATCATGGATGAGAGGTGTCGATTGCTGGCTGCACAAGCGTGTGCGTGTGTTTGTGTGTTTGTGTGTCTGTGTGTCTGTGTGTCTGTGTGTCTGTGTGTCTGTGTGTCTGTGTGTCTGTGTGTTTGTGTGTCTGTGTGAGTGAGTGGGCGAGCGAGCGAGCGAGCGAGCGTATGATGGGTTGAACATGGATTGACTCATCCAATTTCGCAGGCGCCCCGGCTGAGGGAAGAGCTGACCCGGCTGCAGGTTCGGGTGTGCGAACATGTCCTGTTATTGGTGAAGCATTAATCTGCTTGGCACTGTCGCATCGTATTTGGCTATCTAGTTAGTGGTGCCGGTTCATTTAAACATGTTCCTGGCACGTGTTGGACCTTGCTCGCAATGTCTCGCTAGCGGTCACCAGCGCCATGTCATGTTGGCTTGGGCTTATTGCTATGCAGGAAGAGCTGCTGCAAGCAGCCGCAGTCACGGAGGAAGTCAACTCGCTGAAGGAGGACGCTTGTGGCTTTGACATCTACATATGCATGGGATTGAGTAACTGCAGGTGTAGCTGGTAGAGAAGCACACAGTTGACCTAGGAATTCCACAAGGTGTGATGACTCTGTTGGGGTATCTGCGCACATAGGCTAAAAGCGGCCTTGCATGGGCACATTTGTTCGCATGTGAAAGGAGCAGGCTGCCAAAGCAAAGGAGCAGGCATGGCACGGGGCAAGACTCTATAGAACTGCAGTCATCCTATGTCACACAAGCCAGGAAATCTAACAAATGCGACGCCAATGAAGGCTGATTGCGCTCGACTCATGCGCCAATCATTGCATTTGTGGCACGTTGGGATTTGCAAGTCCTTGAAACCGGGGCCTGTGCTTAAAAGAGCTTGAATGCGAAGCAGATGCAGATAAGGCCATGCCCCTCAATGGATTTTGTTCCACAGGTTCCCTCATGGGTCGGAAACGAGAATACTACATGATGTTCGGAGATGCAAACCAGTACCAAGCCAATGTGTCGTACTCGCATCATTGCCCTGACAAACGGCAAGTAATTGAAGTGCGTGCGTGTGAGGCGGCAGCTTTGCCGGCGAGTGCTTTAGAGACGGATGAGTTGCAGCGGCTCAAAGACGAGGCTATGCCAATTGGCTCGCCCATGCAAAAGCAAAGTACAGTCGCAGTTGCAATGGGCTCATTGGAGCCCGTGGACTAAGCGGGATCATCACTGCCCTGTTTGATAATGGAGGGCAGCCTGGAGTTTTTCGGAGGAACCTTCTTCCGGACAATGCCTCTGGTTGATCAATGAAGGGTCGGCCGCATCGTCCCTCGGTATGCACACTCTTTTTTTCCACCAGACGTGCAGGCCGAGCGTGCTGAGTCGGCAGCCCAAGGGGAAAGCGCCCAAAGAGCCCAGCTACAGCTGTTGGTGGAAGAGGCGGGCAATGAGAAGGGATCAGGGAAGGAAGAGCGTGCAAATGATGAATATGTAGTTGCTCGGACGAAAGAAAAAACCTTTCTCGAGCGTTTTCTTCATCGGTCAAACTAATTTGTCGTGGTGCCAAAGGCATTGCCTTTGGTTTGCAGGGTGACTTGGGGTCAAGGGAGGGGTGAACCAGAAATCTGAATGCTGTGATGGACCGGAGTTGTCCAGATCTCGACTCTAGCAGTGTACCCGTCCCATGAACAGGGCAAGGTGAGGGCTGGTCCAAAAGTGGCCTGAATCTCCCCAAATGGGGACGCTGGGGTCCGATCAAAATCAACCAGTGATTGTCTTAATCCGCATTAAAGATCGAGGAATGCGCAAAGCAGAGCGCATGGGCTGAAGACACGAGGGCATATGTTGACACAAGGGATAAAGGGGAAAGCGAAAGGAAGACCGAAGTTCAAGCGCGGATCTAAGAGAACCATGCCTTTATCGAACGTAGTTGTTCCATGAAGTGCCGAGCTGCGCATTGGCGAGCCAAAGGAACCATCCAAAGGGAGGCCAGGAGCCCACATCACATTTTGGTTAGGACTTGTTTCATTTCTGTTCTTTGTTTGTTGCGAAGCTTGAACTACCTTTTTTTGTTTAAGGAAACGGTATCATGACAAGGATGGCTGCTCCACTTCATCATAGCTTTGCTGTTTGCCAGAAGTCCTCCTCGATATCGAGTGTGCATGAACCAAACTCGAAGTATTGCAGTTTGATGCACTGCGCATGTGTATGTCACCCACATGTATGTGAGGCTCAGGCTGCCAAAGATGAGTTGCAGCAGCTGCGAGCACAGGCGAGTGCCGCGTTCAGTCTTACATGATTTCAGTAGAGTATTAGTATTACAGAAGGAATTAGCTATGGGCCGCCAACTGAGTTTGTTGTACTTTGATTGCACTGACACCAAGCTGGAATTTGAAGGAGCACGTGGTTGTAAGGCAGCAGCTCCGCCAGTAGCGAGTACTTCGGAGACGGAGGAGTTGCGGCGCATCAAAGATGAGGGCGTCCATGCCGCAAATCATGGTTGCAGTTGCACTGGGTTCATGGTAAGGCCATCACGGCAAAGACAAGCCCCATTTGAGAATGCAGGTCAACCTGGACGTTTCAAAGGAACGCTCTGCTGACAATGCCACAAGTTGATCCATCATCGGTATGCGGCAGAGACTCCTGGTATACTCCTACCAGACGTGCAGGCGGAGCGTGCTGCGTCAGCAGCCCAAGAGGAAAGTGCCCAAAGAGCCCAGCGGCTAGAACTGTTGGAGAAAGAGGCGGGAAGTAGTCACTGAGAAGGAGGGAACGAAGAAAGGCCGTCCAATTCGTGAACATGAAGTTGCCGAGAGCCAACCTTTCTTGACCTACTGTTTTTGTTTGTTTGTACATTTGTCTTGTTGGTGCCAAAGGATTTAAAGGCAAGGAAGCATGGGGGTATGTGGGGGTGATCCTCAGATGGATAATGTGATCATGGACTAGAGAGTTTCAGCTAATTTTAGCTGCAAGAGCAAGTGTGGAGATAGAGGAATGCACAAAGCAGATCGGCCCGAGCCCGCACAATACTTTTGTTACGGCTGTTTGTTGCTAAGCTTGAACTACCTTGGTTTTGATTGTGGCTCAATGCATCTGAAGTGAGGACCCCGTATCAGGATAAGGATGGCTGCTTCGGCTCTTCACAGCTCGGGTTTGTTTCAGTTTGCTGTTTGCTAGAAGTCCGCCTTGATATCGAGTGTGCATGAACCAAACTCGAAGTATTGCAGTTTGATGCACTGCGCATGTGTATGTCACCCACATGTATGTGAGGCTCAGGCTGCCAAAGATGAGTTGCAGCAGCTGCGAGCGCAGGCGTGTGCCGCGTGCAGTCTTACATGATTTCAGTAGAGTATTAGTATTACAGAAGCAACTAGCTATGGGCCACCAACTGAGTTTGTTGTACTTTGATTGTACTGCACCAAGCTGGAATTTGAAGGAGCACGTGGTTGTAAGGCAGCAGCTACGCCAGTAGCGAGTACTTCGGAGACGGAGGAGTTGCGGCGCATCAAAGACGAGGCCGTCCATGCCGCAAGTCATGGTTGCAGTTGCACTGGGTTCATGGTAAGGCCATCACGGCAAAGACAAGCCCCATTTGAGAATGGAGGTCAACCTGGACGTTTCAAAGGAACGCTCTGCTGACAATGCCACAAGTTGATCCATCATCGGTATGCGGCAGAGACTCCTGGTATACTCCTACCAGACGTGCAGGCGGAGCGTGCTGCGTCAGCAGCCCAAGAGGAAAGTGCCCAAAGAGCCCAGCGGCTAGAACTGTTGGAGAAAGAGGCGGGAAGTAGTCACTGAGAAGGAGGGAACGAAGAAAGGCCGTCCAATTTGTGAACATGAAGTTGCCGAGAGCCAACCTTTCTTGACCTACTGTTTTTGTTTGTTTGTGCATGTGTCGTGTTGGTGCCAAAGGATTTAAAGGCAAGGAAGCATGGGGGTATGTGGGGGTGATCCTCAGATGGATAATGTGATCATGGACTAGAGAGTTTCAGCTAATTTTAGCTGCAAGAGCAAGTGTGGAGATAGAGGAATGCACAAAGCAGATCGGCCCGAGCCCGCACAATACTTTTGTTACGGCTGTTTGTTGCAAAGCTTGAACTACCTTGGTTTTGATTGTGGCTCAATGCATCTGAAGTGAGGACCCCGTATCAGGATAAGGATGGCTGCTTCGGCTCTTCACAGCTCGGGTTTGTGTCAGTTTGCTGTTTGCTAGAAGTCCGCCTTGATATCGAGTGTGCATGAACCAAACTCGAAGTATTGCAGTTTGATGCACTGCGCATGTGTATGTCACCCACATGTATGTGAGGCTCAGGCTGCCAAAGATGAGTTGCAGCAGCTGCGAGCGCAGGCGTGTGCCGCGTGCAGTCTTACATGATTTCAGTAGAGTATTAGTATTACAGAAGGAATTAGCTATGGGCCACCACCTGAGTTTGTTGTACTTTGATTGTACTGACACCAAGCTGGAATTTGAAGGAGCACATGGTTGTAAGGCAGCAGCTACGCCAGTAGCGAGTGCTTCGGAGACGGAGGAGTTGCGGCGCATCAAAGACGAGGCCGTCCATGCCGCAAGTCATGGTTGCAGTTGCACTGGGTTCATGGTAAGGCCATCACGGCAAAGACAAGCCCCATTTGAGAATGGAGGTCAACCTGGACTTTTCAAAGGAACGCTCTGTTGACAATGCCACAAGTTGATCCATCATCGGTATGCGGCAGAGACTCCTGGTATACTCCTACCAGACGTGCAGGCGGAGCGTGCTGCGTCAGCAGCCCAAGAGGAAAGTGCCCAAAGAGCCCAGCGGCTAGAACTGTTGGAGAAAGAGGCGGGAAGTAGTCACACTGAGAAGGAGGGAACGAAGAAAGGCCGTCCAATTCGTGAATATGTAGTTGCCGAGAGCTCACCTTTCTTGACCTACTCTTTTTGTTTGTTTGTGCATTTGTCGTGTTGGTGCCAAAAGATATTTAAAGGCAACGAAGGAAAGGCATCCATCCTATTGATGAATATGCACTCCGTTGCCGAAGGCCGACGTGTCTTGCGTTTGACCTTCTGTGCTGATCCATTTGTCGTTTTGGCGCCAAAATGATAGCCTTTTGTTTTGAGGTGTGTTGGGCGAGCGAGTGTAGGAGTGAACTTCAGGATCATGGATAGGATATGGCAAGCTAGTTTCGTTGGTGGGCTGAAGACACAAAGGCAGAGATTGACACAAGCAGGGGAAACTGGAAAGCAACCTGAAGTTGGAAGTTCAAGCAGGGATTTAGCAGAAGTTGAAGTTAGAGTCATTAATTCCTTGAAGATCTGCACTTGCTTGCTTGCCATATATATATATATGTATACACAACACAAAAGCGAGGCCGCATCGAGTTTCGCTTAGGAGGAGGTTTTGCTAGGCATCAGCTGCCCCAGTTGTCAGTGTGGCTTATGTCAGAAAGCGCTATCGCGGCAACGGTTTGCCAGAATCCTCCTCGATATCGAGAGTACTTGAAACGCACTCGAAGTATCGCAATTTGATGGACTGCGCATGTGTATATCCCCGGCGTGTATTTGAGGCTCAGGCTGCCAAAGATGAGTTGCAGCAGCTGCGAGCGCAGGCGCGTGCAGTCTTACGTGATCTCAGTAGAGCAGTAGAGCATGACAGAAAGAACTTGTTATGGGCTACCAACTGAGTTTGTTGCACTGTGATTGTACTGACCTCAAGCGGAAATTTGAAGGAGTGAGTCCTTGTAAGGCAGCAGCTACACCAGTAGCGAGTACTTCGGAGACGGAGGAGTTGCGGCGCATCGAAGATGAGGCCTACCTGCAATTTTCTCGTGTCGCAGTAACCTCCTTGCTGATACTGTAGGTGTGTGTGTACGTATGTATTTTCGAACTTAGAGGAGAACCTCCACTTTGTAGATGAACACTCCGTCACGATTCCCCTGAGTTTACCAATTACTTTCGTTGTAGCTTGCTTAGCTTGCCCAGTCTTTCTACGGATCCTTGAGAAGAACGATGCTTGCCTGTCAAGCTCTAAAATTATCTACCGCGTATACGGTGTACTCTTCTGCGGCAGCAGTCCAAGAGGAAAGCACACAAAGAGCCCAGCGGCTACAGCTGTTGGAGGAAGAGGCGTGAAATAGACACTGAGAAGGGAAGAACGAAGAAAAAGCACCCACCAGTTCATGAGTGTGTACTCGGCTTGCCGCTGTTGCTGCAAGCCGATTTTTCTTGACCAACTTTTCTCCGGGTTGGTTCATTTCTCATTTTGGTGTCAAAAAGTTTGGTCAACCGGTGTAAGGTAAACCTTCGGTGAATTAGAATGTGTGTCCAGCTACTTTCGATGGTGGGCTGAAGATACGAAGACACGGATTGGCATAAGGGATCACAATGGTAAAGGGTGGCTCGAACGAAGTTCGAAAGTTCAAGCACAGGCCTAGCCGGAGATATGTAAAGTTGCCGTCAGTCATTCCTTGAAGTGGCTCATTTGCCAAAACTAATATGAACAATCCAAAAGGAGGACTGCAGGACGCACTTACTTTTAGGTGGGATTTTTTTCCGCTTTGCTTGAGCCTGGTTGTAGATGTGCCTCAACGTGGCTCAAGTGAGGAAAGGCGATCATGATATGGATGGCTGAGTGAGCATGATATGGCTCGGCTTCATTCAGTTTGCTGTTTGGCATAAGTCCTCCTTGGCATCACGGGTGCTTGAACCAAACTGGCAGCATTGAACATTTGATGCACTGTGCATGTGTATGTCACACACGTGCATGTGAGGCTCAGGCTGCCAAAGACGAGCTGCAGCAGCTGCGAGCGCAGGCGCGTGCAGTCTTACATGATCTCAGTGAGTGTTGTAGTAGGAACTTGCTATGGGCTACCAACTGCGTGTGGTGTGGTTTGTTGTACTTTGAATCTACTGACATCAATCGGCAGGAGCTTGAAGAAGCGCGTTCTTGTGAGGCAGCAGCTACGCCAGTAGCGAGTACTTCGGAGACGGTGGAGTTGCAGCGGCTCAAAGATGAGGCTCGTCCATGCCACAAAGCAGCATTACAGTTACAATAAACTTCTTAAATCCAAGGAATATTGAGCCTCGGGCTGATGCTGGGCGTGTCTGCCATCCGGGAAAGCGATCTTTGCCTGGATTGATTGCCTGGTTGATCAAATGTGGGCTCGTCACTATCGTTCCTTGGTACGCTTTTTACCTTTCTTTGTGTGCAGGCAGAGCGTGCTGCGTCGGCAGCCCAAGAGGAAAGTGCCCAAAGAGCCAAGCAGCTACAGCTGTTGGAGGAAGAGGCGGGAAGTAGTCACTGAAAAGGGAACGAAGAAAGGCCGTCCAATTTACAAATATATGTACTCAGTTGCCAGCAGCCGGCCCTTGTTGACCTACGTTTTTCCAGTTTGGTCCGGTTATCATTCGGTGCTCAAGATTTGGGCAAGCAAGTGTGTGGTGAAACTTCGGTGAAGTATAATGTGTGATTGTGGACTAGAGATGTCAAGCTAATCGTAACTGCAAGTGTCGAGATAGAGGAATGCACAAAGCAGAGAGCATGGTGGGCTGAAGACACAAAGACACGGATTGACACGGATTGACACGGAGGCAAAGGGAAGACCAAAGGAAGTTGGAAGTTCAAGCACGGATCTAACAGCATAAGAACAATCCAAAGGATGGCCGAAGGCCGCACCTGGTTGGGACTGTTGCTAAGCTTGCACTACCTTGGTGTTGATTGTGGCTCAATGTGTCTTAAGTGAGGAAGCTGTATCATGATACGGATGGCTGCTTCATTTGTTCACTTCATGCAATTTTGCTGTTTGGCAGAAGTCCTTCTCGACATCAAAAGTGCTTAAAGCCAATTCGAAGTATTGCAATGTGATGCACTGTGCATGTGTATGTCATCCGCGTGTATTTGAGGCTCAGGCTGCCAAAGACGAGCTGCAGCAGCTGCGAGCGCAGGCGCGTGCAGTCTTACATGATCTCAGTAGAGTGTGACAGAAGGAATTGGTTATGGGCCACCAACTGAGTTTGTTGCAGTGTGTTGTACTTTGAATTCACCACATCAAGCGGCAAGTGAGGCAGCAGCTCCGCCAGTAGCGAGTACTTCGGAGACGGTGGAGTTGCAGCGGCTCAAAGATGAGGCTCGTCCATGCTTCAAAGCACCGTTATGCTGGGCGTGTCTGCCATCCGGGAAAGCGATCTTTGCCTGGATTGATTGCCTGGTTGATCAAATGTGGGCTCGTCACTATCGTTCCTTGGTACGCTTTTTACCTTTCTTTGTGTGCAGGCAGAGCGTGCTGCGTCGGCAGCCCAAGAGGAAAGTGCCCAAAGAGCCAAGCAGCTACAGCTGTTGGAGGAAGAGGCGGGAAGTAGTCACTGAAAAGGGAACGAAGAAAGGCCGTCCAATTTACAAATATATGTACTCAGTTGCCAGCAGCCGGCCCTTGTTGACCTACGTTTTTCCAGTTTGGTCCGGTTATCATTCGGTGCTCAAGATTTGGGCAAGCAAGTGTGTGGTGAAACTTCGGTGAAGTATAATGTGTGATTGTGGACTAGAGATGTCAAGCTAATCGTAACTGCAAGTGTCGAGATAGAGGAATGCACAAAGCAGAGAGCATGGTGGGCTGAAGACACAAAGACACGGATTGACACGGATTGACACGGAGGCAAAGGGAAGACCAAAGGAAGTTGGAAGTTCAAGCACGGATCTAACAGCATAAGAACAATCCAAAGGATGGCCGAAGGCCGCACCTGGTTGGGACTGTTGCTAAGCTTGCACTACCTTGGTGTTGATTGTGGCTCAATGTGTCTTAAGTGAGGAAACTGTATCATGATACGGATGGCTGCTTCATTTGTTCACTTCATGCAATTTTGCTGTTTGGCAGAAGTCCTTCTCGGCATCAAGAGTGCTTGAAACAAATTCGAAGTATTGCAATTTGATGCACTGTGCATGCGTATGTCACCCGCGTGTATTTGAGGCTCAGGCTGCCAAAGACGAGCTGCAGCAGCTGCGAGCGCAGGCGCGTGCAGTCTTACATGATCTCAGTAGAGTGTGACAGAAGGAAGTGGTTATGGGCCACCAACTGAGTTTGTTGCAGTGTGTTGTACTTTGAATTCACCACATCAAGCGGCAAGTGAGGCAGCAGCTCCGCCAGTAGCGAGTACTTCGGAGACGGTGGAGTTGCAGCGGCTCAAAGATGAGGCTCGTCCATGCTTCAAAGCAGCATTACAGTTACAAGAAACTTCTTAAATCCAAGGCTGATGCTGGGCGCGTCTGCCATTTGGGAAAGCGATCTTTGCCTGGATTGATTGCCTGGTTGATCAAATGTGGGCTCGTCACTATCGTTCCTTGGTACGCTTTTTACTTTTCTTTGTGTGCAGGCAGAGCGTGCTGCGTCGGCAGCCCAAGAGGAAAGTGCCCAAAGAGCCAAGCAGCTACAGCTGTTGGAGGAAGAGGCGGGAAGTAGTCACTGAAAAGGGGGAACGAAGAAAGGCCGTCCAATTCACAAGTATATGTACTCAGTTGCCAGCAGCCGACCCTTGTTGACCTACGTTTTTCCAGTTTGGTCCGGTCATCATTTATGATGCCCAAGATTTGGGCAAGCAAGTGTGAGGTGAAACTTCGGTGAAGTAGAATGTGTGATTGTGGACTAGAGATGTCCAGCCAATCGTAACTGCAAGTGTCGAGATAGAGGAATGCACAAAGCAGAGAGCATGGTGGGCTGAAGACACAAAGACACGGATTGACACGGATTGACACGGAGGCAAAGGGAAGACCAAAGGAAGTTGGAAGTTCAAGCACGGATCTAACAGCATAAGAACAATCCAAAGGATGGCCGAAGGCCGCACCTGGTTGGGACTGTTGCTAAGCTTGCACTACCTTGGTGTTGATTGTGGCTCAATGTGTCTTAAGTGAGGAAACTGTATCATGATACGGATGGCTGCTTCATTTGTTCACTTCATGCAATTTTGTTGTTTGGCAGAAGTCCTTCTCGACATCAAAAGTGCTTAAAGCAAATTCGAAGTATTGCAATTTGATGCACTGTGCATGCGTATGTCACCCGCGTGTATTTGAGGCTCAGGCTGCCAAAGACGAGCTGCAGCAGCTGCGAGCGCAGGCGCGTGCAGTCTTACATGATCTCAGTAGAGTGTGACAGAAGGAAGTGGTTATGGGCCACCAACTGAGTTTGTTGCAGTGTGTTGTACTTTGAATTCACCACATCAAGCGGCAAGTGAGGCAGCAGCTCCGCCAGTAGCGAGTACTTCGGAGACGGTGGAGTTACAGCGGCTCAAAGATGAGGCTCGTCCATGCTTCAAAGCAGCGTTACAGCTACAATAAACTTATTAAGTTCAAGGAATATTGAGCCTCGGGCTGATGCTGGGCGCGTCTGCCATTTGGGAAAGCGATCTTTGCCTGGATTGATTGCCTGGTTGATCAAATGTGGGCTCGTCACTATCGTTCCTTGGTACGCTTTTTACCTTTCTTTGTGTGCAGGCAGAGCGTGCTGCGTCGGCAGCCCAAGAGGAAAGTGCCCAAAGAGCCAAGCAGCTACAGCTGTTGGAGGAAGAGGCGGGAAGTAGTCACTGAAAAGGGGGAACGAAGAAAGGCCGTCCAATTCACAAATACATGTACTCAGTTGCCAGCAGCCGACCTTTGTTGACCTACGTTTTTCCAGTTTGGTCCGGTTATCATTTGATGCTCAAGATTTGGGCAAGCAAGTGTGAGGTGAAACTTCGGTGAAGTAGAATGTGTGATTGTGGACTAGAGATGTCCAGCCAATCGTAACTGCAAGAGCAAGTGTCGAGATGGAGGCATGCACAAAACAGAGAGCATGGTGGGCTGAAGACACAAAGACACGGATTGACACGGATTGACACGGAGGCAAAGGGAAGACCAAAGGAAGTTGGAAGTTCAAGCACGGATCTAACAGCATAAGAACAATCCAAAAGACGGCCGAAGGCCGCACCTGGTTGGGACTGTTGCTAAGCTTGCACTACCTTGGTGTTGATTGTGGCTCAATGTGTCTTAAGTGAGGAAACTGTATCATGATACGGATGGCTGCTTCATTTGTTCACTTCATGCAATTTTGCTGTTTGGCAGAAGTCCTTCTCGACATCAAAAGTGCTTGAAACAAATTCGAAGTATTGCAATTTGATGCACTGTGCATGCGTATGTCACCCTCGTGTATTTGAGGCTCAGGCTGCCAAAGACGAGCTGCAGCAGCTGCGAGCGCAGGCGCGTGCAGTCTTACATGATCTCAGTAGAGTGTGACAGAAGGAAGTGGTTATGGGCCACCAACTGAGTTTGTTGTTGTTTGATTGTACTGACCTCAAGGGGAATGTTGAAGGAGTGCGTTCTTGTGAGGCAGCAGCTACACCAGTACCGAGTACTTCGGAGAAGGTGGAGTTGCAGCGGCTCAAAGATGAGGCCTACCTGCAATTGGCTCGTGTCGCAGTCCTGGTTGAATAACCTCCTTTCTGATACCATAGGTGTGCCTTTGTGTGTGCGCGTGGATGTGTGTATATTTTTTGAGGAGAACCTCCACTTTGTGGATTAGCATTCCCTCACAATTTCCCTGAATGTACGCATTTCTTTCGTTGTAGCTTGCTTAGCTTGCCCATTCTTTCTAGGGATACGGTGTACTCTTCATTGTAAAGCAGACCTGCAGGCCGAGCGTGCTGCGTCGGCAGCCCAAGAGGAAAGTGCCCAAAGAGCCAAGCAGCTACAGCTTTTGGAGGAGGAGGCAGGAACTGGTCACTGAGAAGAGAGGGGAGGGCGGCGTCGAATGTCATGTGCAAATAGGCGTTGTTTAATCAAATGGACGGGCTTATACAAAAAGTAGTGTATAGACTGTATAGGCGAACCACCCAAAAAAACAAAGCGCTCAAATAAAGCGTGTCCTCGCACAGCGCGTCGGCTGAACCAGGCGCCCCAGCTGAAGGCACAGCTGGCCCGGCTGCAGGTGAGCCGTCGCTAGTTCGTGTGAGCCGGCGATAACTGCAGTTGGGCAAATTCTGACGTGCTCAACTGGGGCTAAAGCGAGCTCAGCCATCATGAAGAGCCAATAATCATTACTTACCCTGATTCTGGTTGGTGAATTGCTGTAGTTTGTTCAGATTGCGTCGGGAGCAGAAAGTCGCATTTGCTTGCCGCCACTTGTTGTCATGCAGGCAGAGCTGCAGCAAGCAAGTGCTGTCAAGGAAGAAGTCATCTCGCTCAAGGAGGATAGTATGCAAAGCCGGTCCAGTTTCGTTTGGCCTTAGATATTTGGTTGTTGGAATTCGCTTTCGATGGTGTCGACTGCTGCAAATTGGGTTTGATGCTCTTCTGCGTGGTGGAAACCGCGTTTCGGTTTCCACGCGAAACTCGCATTCGCTTGCGCGTGTCGCAAGGAGCTCGCTGCCAAGGGAAATGCGGAGGCAGGGTGAAGCTCAAGGAAGTCGAAGTGCACGCGTGAATCGTGGCTGTGGCTCAAAATTAAACAGGGACTACGCAGGTGTTGGGTATGTTTGGTCCATGTTTCCATCTACCAGGGTTCCATTTTGATACCGGTTTTTGGAGCCACAGCCATGTATCTGCCTATTTTATAGCCTGGCCATGGGAAAGATTCTTTACTTGGGAATCCCTTATATGGGGGCCGTCCGTAATTGCGTGTCTAAAACTTATGAAGAGAGGTAACTTGTTGAGTCGCGCGATTGGGAAAACTCGAGCCGCGGTTGGCCGGCGATTGGAGCGCGAAAGGGAAACGAGTTCATCATGAATTTGGAAGTTGCTTAGCATCTACTACTACTACTACTACTACGACTACTACTACTACTACTACTACTACTACTACTACTACTAGTACTGATACTACTATTCTTATTACTTCCGCTACTGCTACTGCTGCCGCTACCGCTGCTGCTACTTCTTCTGCTACCACTACTACCACCACTACTGGTACTACTTCTACTACTATCACGACTATGCCATTCGTCTAGTATAATAGCTTAAATTGCCAGGAATCCTACCAGCATGTCTGGTTTTGCTAGTACTTTCATTATTGCCACGAATTTGTGGTAATGACTTAGTAAGCAGCAGTTGCCGGGTGCAGCTTGAGTATTCTGTTGTGGTAAGCCAAGTAGCATGCAAAACGCACGCGCGAGTGCGGACCGCTCGCGCGCGGAACCCGAGCGCGCGGAACCCACAGACGCGGAACCCGCGCGCGCGGAACCCGCGCGCGCGGAACCCGCAGGCGCGGAACCCGCGCGCGCGGAACCCGCGGCCGCGTAGAATTCGCGTAGTGCCTATTTCACGCTTCTACCTTCTCACGGGCGCTGCCCGCAAAAGGATACAACATCTCTGAAGCATCCCAGTTGTGTTGTTGCTTGCGCCGCTCCTTCCCTAGATGGGGTTTTGCGATGGCTTCGGCCTGCGTTGTATTTTTCTATCATGTCTCAAAGTGTTCGTTTGACTTGCTACCGCGCTGCGTCCAGGGCTATTGGACCGCCGCAGCAGGATGAGTGTCATCTTTTCTTGGGGATTGCTATTGCTGCTACGACCGCTGGCGTTGTAGTAACGGTACCTTACTACCGGGGCTGCTTTGTTTCTACTTTTTTGTTGCTTGCTGGAAAACGAGACGTCGTTGCTTTAGGGTTGATCGATTGTTTTGCTCACCCTAGGGCCTTAGGGTCTGAAACAGGTCTGAAACAGGTCTGAAACAGGTCTGAAACAGGTCTGAAACAGGTCTGAAACAGGTCTGAAACAGGTCTGAAACATCCTTTCTGAAACATCCCGACGCATGTCGCTGATTTTGACTGCGCAGGCTTGCCCGAAAGTTCCCTCTAGAACCCTGGATGTTGACTTTGTCTGGCAGGCCCAGACAGTGCTTTCCAAGCCTGATTGCTAGCAAGGGCTAGATGGAAGCTGCAAACCGAAGTTTCGCCGACGAATTCCGCGATTGGACGGCGATTGGACCGCGATTGGACTGCGATTGGACCGCGATTGGACGAATTCCGCCAGTGAGCCCCTGCCCATCCGGGCTCTGCCGCTTCCTTCTTGTCACTTCTTTCTTGTTCCGGTGAAAGGTTGACTTGTTGGTGACCGCCCCCGAAGACAGCGAGCCACGACTCTGAAGCAGGTTTGTGGTGGCCAACAAGTTGCTGAGGTGGAGGGAAAAATGGAGCCACATGAAAGACTTTGCTTCAGACAGCAATGAGTCCAGTTCCTCGAGCAGCGCTTCTACCACATCAGTTTCTGTGGACTCATAGGATCGAGCAAGTTGCAGCGGCGAGAAGCGAAAAAGAAGGCGGCTATGCCCAATGTTGCTCCGCGATTGGGAACTGTGGGACCGCGATTGGACCGCGGTTGGCCGGCGATTGGGAGGTTCCCAGGCAAAGTAATTTTGTACAACCCCCATATAGTTTAGGTGATGGAAATATTGTAAAGGTTGCAGATGTGTAGCTATTGTATATGCACAGGTGGAACAGGTCAGCCATTGCAATAGCAGAACAAGCCGCAAACACAAAAGCAACCAAGCAGCAAACAAATGCAAGATTGACTGAACGTACCGGGAGACTGCGTGCTGGGTTTGCATGTGCTGGTGAAACTTATAGTGGAAGGCTGGAGGCTTGTAGGCCAAGCTGCACGACGTGTCTTGGGAGTTTGCCAACGCCCGGTGTTGCTATATGGGTCTGTCTTCTTTGGAGTTGGTACCTCTTGGTCGGTTTTTCAAGGGAGACCAAAAGGACAACCACACAAAATGGTGGGTATCACCTGCGTGCTTAGGCGCAGGTTGCCGAGAAGGAGTTGCAGCTGCGGGAGTCGCAGGAAGGAAAGTTGCAGCTGCGGGCACAGGCGCGGGTCTCACAAGGATGTTTTGGACGTGGACAGTGGACATGGCATGATTTGGTGCATGGGGTAGACTTAGGATACATTTTATATTTTACCAGTGACTCAAAGTGAAGCAAACAATAAAATATACATTCTATGACTGAGCCTAACTCTAATCATGGTGCTCAGATGTTTGCTACCCTGCTACCCTTCCTGCAACAATCGTGGAAGCTGACGATTGGAGGGTTTTGGAAGACTACCTCGTGTGGGTACTGACCTTTGTTTGGCAGGCTTCATCATTTGGATGTGCGTGTCTTTGGGTACGCGCCAAAATGGAATCGATACTCCTTTTGATTCTCCTTGTAAGACCACCAAAAAGGGGTGCCCTCAAAGAACAGCACACACACATTTTGGTGAATGCCTAAAGCGCTTTGACGTTTTCTCCGTAGTCAAGTCAGCAGTTTCAGATGACAATGTGCCTTGCTGCAAGGCCGCAGCGCAGGAAGCAAGTGCGACGGAGGAATTGCAGCGACTTAAGGATGAGGCCTGGATCTGGGTTCCTGGGGGAATTTTTGAGGGCTCTTAAAATCAGTTTTGGGGGTGGTTTCTCTTCAAACCACCTTTCAGCTCGGGTGATTTCGAGGATGTCATTTCAATGGCCGACAATTGTGTGGCGCCAGTGGCCACCAGTATTTGTGCGACGCCGGCAAAATCCCTTTCCCTTTGGTGGCTTCCCTGCCAATCAAGACGAGGGTCACGGGTCGCTGACGACTAAGGACTTCCCGCCGTAGAGCCTTTGTTCAGTAAGGTTTTGGGCAACGCTATCATCCCTTGAGTGTATCTGGAGGCTTGGGCTACCATAGTCAACACCTTGTCCGGGTTGGTGTCTAATGGGAATGCAAAAAGGAGGGAGAGTTCTGGGGGGGGTGTACGGCTATGCCACCTACCCCCATGGTAGCTATGGCAGCCAGGAGGCAATGGTGGCAACTGATGCCGGACGGGCTGAGTTCGTTGTGTTAAGGGTGCTCATTGACTCATATGTTCTATGTTTTGCTCCCTAAGGATGGGGATATGAGGGCATGTCTTGTTGAGGCTATACCCTTTTTGGTGCGATGTTGAATGGAAACTACAATGGGCCTCCCGATTTTGACACAGACCCATTGTGATTCCAGCAAGTGGCCAAAAAAAGTCAGTGGGCTTCAGGCGGATCGTGCCGCATCCGCTGCCCGAGCAGAGAGCGCCCAAAGAACGCAGCAGCTGCAACTCTTAGAGGAAGAGGCCATGGCCGTTGGTTGGTCGTTTCGAACCCGCAGATTGGGGTTAAGTTGGGGGGGTTGGGGGGGTTGGGGGGTTGGGGGGGTTGGGTGGGTTGGGGGGGGTTGGGGGGGTTGGGGGGGTTTGGCAAAGGGACCAAGCTCCTGTATGGGCTGCAACCAGTATGTCGAACCGGTGGCGAACCGATCTGACACCCAAAACCAAGGTCGAAGCCATTCGCCGGAGTCGAATCGCAGTCACCCCCAATTCCCAAAAGTTAACCTCTTATTTCTGGGTTCTTTGGGCAATTGGACCGCATGGCCAAATGTGACGTCTCGAATTCCGCGAGGTGAACCCAAACTTTCAAGAAGGACACGAGGAGTGCATCTTTCACTGGACTTCAGCAACTTGGTTCTCTTTGCCCTTTTAAGTTTTCTAACTTCCTGAGTTCCTGGACTCGTTTCTTGTTGAAACCAGTTCAGTGGCAAACAAACAGTTTGGACTTGTTTGGCCAATCCACTTGATTGGAAGTGAGTTTCCTTCAATTTGCCTAACCAGCGAAAGTGATCCTCAAGGCTTTCTCCAAAGAAAATCATGAGCAAGCCACAAGGGCGTGCTGGCTTCTGTTGTTTTCTCTTTCAGGGGCCCAAATGTTCAACCCTTGCGAAAGGGTCATTCATGGGGACCGAGCCGCATACAAGATCCAACAACACCAACCAATGTTGCTGAACACTACTTCCGATTGTCCGGCCCGTGGCCGGCCTTAGCATCCTCCGCTGGCAACCTTTGCTAGGTCCCCCAGTGGTGCCCTTTTACCTTTTTCTTGGGGAGGGTTCACCTACTAAAACAGTACAGAAAAACGGTACCCTTATTCAAACCTCTCTAATGGAGGACCTGGTTTGTCTCTCACAAACCACCTTCTCCCCCGGAAGCCAAGCCGCCCGGGTTTTGTGTGGCCTGATCCGGAGAGGTGCTGCAGCTTGGAGCCAGGCTACACATGCAGGCGACTTCGCGCGTGCGGATCGCTCGAGTCGTTGTGAGCTGCGGAGACATGGGCAAGTAGGATTTTCAAGTACTCCCTCCCTGAGTTCCGTTTCAGACTTTAGTCAGTCACTTGTTGGGCTTGGACCGTTTTAGTGGTAAACAGAAAGTTTGGACAACTTTTTGAACTTTCTGTGACCAACCCACTCAGGAAGTGAGGAACCCTTGGGTGGACATCAAAATTTGGTGTGGCTTTATGTCCACCAACCACCTTGGACATAGTTGTTGTTCGGAAACATTTTACATTTTGCTTATTGTGGTTTAGAGACAAATCCCCACTTAACTGCCAAAGTTTATTTTTCCCTCCCCTTCCAACGTCAACCAAGTGGAGCTGGTTCCGACTCTTACCTCTAAGCGGCCTTGCCGGCCCAGCATTGCAACACCGAAGCATTTGTTTCAATTCCAAGTCCCATGCTCCACTACTTTCAACGGTCGTGTTGCTGTTTTTTGTTTCCCCCTTTTTTGTTCGAAAATAATAATACTGGTTCTAAAGCTCACGTGAGTGATGCTGGGTTGTCTTCTCACATACGCCATCAAGCATCAGACACGATTGTTTGGGGCATTCCGTTTCGCAAGTGCGGGAGGACAGGCCGGGGCTTACCTTTGGAGCTGATCACCTGGAAAACAGTCTGTTTGGGCCGTGCAATGAAGAAGGGACACCTACACAAAGATCAAGTTATTGAAACTCAGGTATTGTCAACCAGGATAGGATGAATCGGCCTGGACCATGCTCACTCAAAAGAGAAGACGGCCTTAACTTCGAAGAAGCCGAAGGGAAAAGCGGGGGTGGTGGTTGAGGGGGCTGGACTCCAAGGCTCGATGTTGCCAGGTCAGACCGAGGAACCGGAACCACTCGCTCGCATTCACACGTTCACACGTTCTAAGTGTGTGTGATGTCCATCTCTAGGATGGGGGTTCAATGCCTAGACAGCAAACCTACCAAATACGTATTTGCTTACAAGGGGCTGGCGTGGAACACGCTTAGAAAACCAGGGCTCCAGGCAGTGTTTCCCGGGAATCCCGGTGCCACCGGTCCATCCATCCGGGCGAGGCTATGGAGGCGGAGCAAAAGCAGAGTCTTGAGGCCAGCGACCCGAGATGCGCAGGTGATGCCATGTTGACAGCCGGAACCGATTTCGACGTTCGGGACCACTCGGCAAATGGTCCAAACCAGAACCCCCGAAACGTTAGGTTGAATGTTAATTGGTGGGACGGGATAGTTATTGGTGTGGTTAGCCTTGCTGGAAAGTGCTTATAACCCAAGTGGCTAACCACTTCCGAACTTGGCCCCCCGTTTCCAGCAGAATCCCTGGCTGATTTTCATCAGCGTAGAAAGGTGCCCCACATTTTTAGTGGATTCAGACAACTTTGACAGGGGACGCCACCCCGCCATGAATGGGTTCTATAAAGATCCGGGATCAACATTACCCCCATTGGTTGCTTGAGAGGCAAATGAATCACTGGGTTGCAAGTTACCCCTCTTTCCCAAGAATGGAAGCACAATCTTGCCGGCAAGACTTGTATGCTGGCCCTTACATATTCACTAATTGGATTGCCTGGAGGCACCCTGTTTGACAGACATGCCAGTGCGGTTGGTGAACAGAAATTTGCCCAATAGAATGGCTCTAGCCCACTTCTGTTTTATTGTTTGGGTGCTGTTACAATTCACCCAAGACAAGTGAACCCAGTTTGGACTTTTCAGGTTTAACAGTTTCGTCATTGCTTCACTGTCCCAAGAGATTCCACAAGTCCAACGTGGGCAAAGGGTGGAACACCCCCCCATGGTGTGAAAACCAGATACCAACTTGTTTGGCTCGAAAAGGTGTGTTTTCAGGGGAAACCCCAAATTCAAGTTCAGGTGTTGCCTCTTGGTTTGCTTTCAAATGTTCAAACCCGCAAACATCTCAAAGCCAGGGATGTGTTTGCAGCCTGTTCAAAGCTAACAAACCCGTGAAGGGTGGAACTTTTCTTGAGGGGTTCCTTTCATTTCCATCAGGGTAGGAACCCGGCTCGCACCCTTGCACTCAGCGATACTTCACCCAGTCAGCCAAGGAACACGCGATTCCTTTGCACATCGCTCAGGATCCAAGTAGTTTCAAAGGATGTGGGTGTGTTTAAACCTAGGACCCGCCTTTTTTGTGGTTTTCCATTGGGACCTCCTTTGACACCCTCCAAAAAACTCGAAAAACAAGTACCCATGTTGGCTCATGTTGACCCCTCAAGATGGGGACGAGGTGCCACGTTCGGATTCCCGGAGTCCTTGGCCTGCAGGAAAACAAACATGGTTTAACCATGACAATGTGACTAGAGGAGCCACGCCTGGCCAAAAAGGCCACTGACACCGACTGCAGGGGGAGACAAGAAGAGGGTCCCTCAAAGTCTTTCTGGTTCTAGACCAGCCCCCCCCCATCGCCTATCAAATGGTTCAGTGACCTTTGGTCTATGGGGGACTGAACCGACCATGTCACGGTGTCCCTTGATTTGACGTCCGCCCAATTTCTAGCTAGTGAGCCCTAGCCTGAATGGTACCGCGCCTCGGCTGGCCATTTGACAGCCATGGAACCTGGGGGGCTGGGGCCTGGGTAGTAACATGGTCAGTTTTCAGCGCTCGCGTTAGCGCCGCTGCCATTTCAGCTCGATCCGTCAAAACTCTTCGCGACTTCAGCCGTCAAAATGGGCCTCGAGGCACAGCTGCAGCAGGCGAGAGTGTTTGGGATGCCTGGGAACTGAAAAGGTTCTTGAGTTCCTGGACTTGATATTTTTTGGAAGACCATGTTAGTGGTAAGCAACAAGAAGGAGGACTGTTTGAGGCTATTCACTGAAAGATTTGTCATGTTGGACAAACACATGGGATGGGGTTAGCTGTAAATTCTGCCACACGTCATTGCTACCCGTCAAGCCCAAAGGTTTTTCACGGGAACGCATGAACCTCTGGATTCAAGTCCTCGTGGGGTTATCTTAAAACCATGGAACCCGCGAAAACGTAGGCCAGTTGCTTATTATTTGTTGTTTTAGGGCGAATCTCTGCGTCTGCCAAGAATGATTTTCAGGCGCTGAGGATGTAGCAAGCGACTCGGGCTGGATGTTGTTTTCAACCAAAAAGGGGGAAAAGTCCTAAGACCAGTTTGTCGTTTGAGGACAACCCCTTCCCCTGACGTCCTGCAAATATGGCATGAATCCTCGGGATCTGTTTTGTTTGTTTTGTCGTTCCTGTTGGGAAATAAGGGAAGGGTGGATGCAATGATTTGAAGGCAACGAACCAAATGCGGACGAAGTACGGACATGAATTTACCATGGCGATACCCATTCACAAACATGGAACCTCACAACGGGGGGGGGGGGGGCTGGATTGGTCCGTTTTTCGCAAGGCGCCCATTTCCCCTGGTGGGTTCCACGTGTTTGATCCCCGCCCCCAAAACGGAATTGGGGGAGGGATTTCGAATTCCGGAGATGTCCATTTATGGCAACCCATTGCCTTGAAGGAAGACTAGAAAAATGGTTGATGGAGGACCGGGCCCCCACCCCCCCGCCCCCTAAGGTACTTGGATGTGTGGCCAACACTTGGGTTGCAAGCCCCGGACTGACAAGTCTAGCTGGTGGTTGGAAGGGAGCCCAGGCGAGCTGAGGCGCTACCAGGAGTTCTGTAAGGACATGGTAGCCTGCAGTGGGTCGTAACCGAACGGTTACCAAGAACTGACTAACTTGGCAACTATATAGGTCATAGGGCAAAAACCGTCAGGCGTCTCTCCTGAAGAAGGTGGCGGAGTCCATGAAGGACTTGCCCCTTGGATTCGAATAAAGGTGCCGGGTGGCTCGTCGAGTTGTTTCTTTGGGTGGTTAGTACTTTAGGCAACTGGCATTTGTTACGTTTTACCTTGGGCCGGTTTTTTTTTCTTCCCCGGAGTTGGTTTGCCGTCTTTTTTGTGGTTCTTGCCGGAAACCCAACAGGGAAAGCACCATTTGGAGGGTGCCCTAGACCCACGCGAATTACTTCCCTGTATGGATGTGTCAAACAAGGTGAATCGGACCCTAAGACACCTTTGGTTTCCTTCAAAGCCCCAGAAGGCTCCAACTCGACAGGGAACCCAGGGAACCACCCTTCAATACGAACAGGAACTTGTTTACTGGTAGCTGGCATTTGTTTTTGTTCCCACGGTGCCCACATCCCCATAGTTCAAGCCCTCCAAAACAGGGCCATTCCTAGGAAACAAAGATCCATTCCCAGTAAAAAAAGAAAAACGCACCGACCATGAAGTCAACCTTACGTTGTCAACTCTAAGGAGCTCGGCTGGGTAAACCGAGCCGATATGAAGGTCCCTAGGACTCCTTTCCGGCTTAAGGAGCAATTTGGGCATGTCGCGTTTTGTGGCGTTGGAACCCTTGTTGGTTGGTTGGTTACAAGGGAAACCACAGGAACAGATTCGGTTCCTTTGATTAACTTGAGATGGGTCCTCAAATCGGGTAGCCCGTAAAGATGGAGTCCATCATTCCCGGCCCGTCTGGGATATTCCACGGGCCAGATGGTACAAAGTACTCCCGGCAAGATGCCGCAAGGTGCAAGGACGTGAACTTTGACTGCTCTGAGAAGGGCATCGAGGTGGGAAGTCGGAAGTGCGCTTTTCCACCCGATGGCGTGAAGGGAACTGGTTCAAACCATTCATGAGTTCTCAGGTAACTCCTGTTTGGTTTGGATTGCTGGGAACTGGGGATTTCAAGCGCTGGTTCTTGTAGAGGGCAACGGGAAGACCACTTACTAGCCTGCAAACCGCCGGGCCCCAAAGTTACGGGGTGGAAGAGGGCAGGGTAACCGACATGGGGGACTTGCGTCTACTTTTGCCCACTAAAATGTCCCCAACCAAGGACGCCCCCAGTTTTACATGGCTATGTCTTAAGGCCCCCAAAACTGTTGTGCCGTGTTGCTGTGGTTGCTCTAGAGTGAACAACATCTCCCCTGGCTGGTCAAAATGAGTTGCAATCCCCTTGTTTGTCAGGCAAGCAAAGGAAGAGGGGGCATTGGGATCTAAAAAAGGGCCCGTACGGCCATACCCCTCCTTCCAACATGGATGTGGACGAGGGTTTTGGAAGACTGTTCTCTTGGAAAGACCCTTCTACTTCTGATTCTTGCAAGCGTATATAGTTTGTTGACAACCCCCCTATATGTTGAAGGGTTTGTGGTATATGTTGTTTGACAACCCCCCCCCATATGTTTGAAGGGTAGTTCCAGTCCCCAGGGAGAGGGGAGGGTTGGGGGCGGAGGGGGGGGGGCGGTTCACGGTCTGGAACATATATGGGAATATATACATACTGTGGATGGACAAAATCCTGCACCACTTGAAAACCATGGTTGAAACCATTGTTTGCTGGTATTTGCAGGGGAAGCATCCGAAACCAGGGTCTCTGAACGGTGGTGCGAAATGTATTTTGCCCATCCACAGTATCAACCTTTTGAACAATGCCCGCTTTCCATGTGGTTGAAGGGTATATGCTACCATACATATATATACATATTGATATATATATATATATACACATTAATATATATAATATATATACATGCATCATATTTTGGGAACCCCCACCCAGCCAGCCCGCCCATCGAAATTCCAGGTGCAGTGCATGGACAGCTCCCACGTGGCGCTGGTGTCCTTGGTGCTGCGGGAGTCCGCCTTCGCGGAGTGGAAGCCTCGGTTCGTCGGTCGTTGTTTCAGGCGAGCCACGTGCTCAAAACCCGGGTAAGTGAAGGTTTGTAAGGGTCAATCCCAGCCATAAATAGCTGCGGCCGCCTTCTTAATTCTTTGCATGGTTCTGGGTCGACCATTTTAATACCGGGTTTTGATTGTGACTCAGGTGGGGACCCCTCCCAAGTGGCTTCGGCGCTCCTTTTGTTTCTAGTACTGTAAAAAACTGCACCGAAAGAAAACCACCAAAAATCAGTAAGGAACACCAGTTATTTTGGCGTCTGTTTTGGGTGTCCAGTAAGAAACCATCAAAATAAGTGGGACCCCCCAAAAAAACGACGCCTTGTCTTTTGTGTCCTTACCAAAAACGTAAAACACCAAAATGGGGGTACCGCCACCACAAAAA